GACAGCTGCGAGTCAGGTAAGACACAATACATATTAAAATATAAAATATAGTATTGTTGCCTGCCTTATATTAAATTATATGTGCATGCATCTACATCTACATCATAGAAGTGTATTTGATCAAATTCTCGAAAACACGAACTCGAGAACCCTCCGACGATCAGGAGGAAGGTAGTAACGTACATTTAGATCATCTTGAATATTAGTGTCCGCAGGCGTCGTACTAACATTTACGGTGATTTTCTATAATTTATTTTATTCTTTTAATTTATTTTATTCTTTTTATTTTTGCGTTATTACAGCCCTCTCTATATAATAGTCTTTCGTTATCAGTGATTAAGAATAAGGGATTTAATATAGGCAATTCTAATGACATTTTTAAACAATATAGTTATTTGTTCAATCCTGTGTTCTCTACAAAAACAAACTTATACTAAACCAATTATATCAACTACCAACTATTATATTAATCTAGTCATGTAAATGATACTTTTTAAAAGTATTCAAATACAGATACAGAAACTTATTTTGAAAATAATTTAAAATACGCAAGTATTTTAAAACTCTGAAAAGAATATTCGAGTAAAAATACAAATGCTTTGAAAAAGTACTTATTGATACTTTCAAATACCGACCTTCATTAATTTGTTAAATATAAATATTTTTACCTTTTAAATTAACAGATCCGATTTTCATGTTTTACCTTAATTGTATTCATCATTTTACGCAGAATCATTTGGTGGAACCATAAAAATATATTTATTTGATGTTTTTTTCTTGCAGTATTAAAATTTTTGATTAAATATAATCCACCGTAAATAAATTTGTTATTCTTTGTTAAACAAATTAAATTTCGTAAAAAATGATATTTTAGTTTTTTTTGGTGACTGGATGAACTTCAAAGCTTGTTAAAAAAAAATCATTTTTACGTTTCACTATTTTTTTAAAATTTCTTTCATAAATGGGCCTAAATGAGTTGTAGCCGGAAGTTTACTCGCATATCAAAACATAGCAAAATGTTTAGTAGATAAACGGAAACAGTGTATGTTCTATCTTCTTGGTTTATTTAATAAGCATATTTAGTTATATTATGTTATTATTAGTAAATTATTGTTTTTTCAGTATCTTTACAATCAGTGGAGTAACAAGACGGGAAAGGGCCCCGGGACAGTAAATAAATTAGGCCCCTCAATTATATCTATAGGAAAAACCACAATATACATTACATTATTGTTGTTTAAAATATAAATACCTCTATAAAAACATTAATGAAAATAATAAACAGATAATTAATTGATACTCAAAATAAAAAGGAAATCCATTTAATTACTAAAACAAATTTTAAATATTAACATTTTATCATTATTAATTTATTAATTCTATCTAATAAAATAAAATAAAATAAAGTCTATCGAATCATATTTATAATATTTTACGAGCTTTAACATTAGCAAAGTGATCTATTACTTCACTTAAATCCGATTTTGAAGATCCCTTGTTTTCAACTGCAATCAATGATAAATATTTGAGTCGATCTTGTCTAATAATATTTCACTTGACAATAAATATGTGATATGTCTAAGATATTTATATTTTTTTATTGTGTATACCAACACAGTTCTCTTAATTACTTCTTTTGCAAGCTACAAGTGGAAAAGTATGACATACTTGTGGTTGTGGAACTCAGTGAAGAAGTTGTATTGTTTTTAAAAGAAAAAACTGATTTGGTAAAATCGTTGCAAACATATTTGGACTATATATTTTCGAAAAATAACGAACTAAGTGTATATTCACTAATTGCAAGAAACACAAGAAGCCTATGAAGAAGTTCACGACAAAATATTAAAGGTTTTATGAAAAACTTATTTTTTGATAAAAAACAATTGAAATCGAAATTAAAATTGTCTCGAAACATTTAAAACTTGCATAGCTGAAATATGAAACTGATATGAAACTGTTGACGTAATTAGCCAAATTAGTTTCATTTAATTGTGAAGTGTAACGTACCTGATTATGATTTTGTTTATTTATTTCTACTACTTGAAGTTTTCAAAGATGTAGATGAATGAAAGGTAGAGCGCAACCAATAGAAATTGGTTTAAGTTTTTATAAAAAAATGTTGGTAGATAAACATCAACTTCCTGCCAGCTGAGTCTATGTAGAGCACTTTTTTAAATTCTACGTCGCATGTGTCCGCATGTGTTGTTTCTGTCTTTCTAACACATAAATATTGTAATAATTTATCAACATTTACGCCCAAAAGTTCCAATTTTTTGTTGTTTGCTTTAATATTAGAGTGAATTGACTTATTAGCAAATTTAAATATAAGAACATTATCTGTGTTGTTTCCTTGATTTTTACGATATTTTAATTTTTATGTGAGGTAGGAGTGTGTATAAATAATACAATGTGTTACATTGCCAAAAAAATTTGTATAGAATTTCGTAAAATAAAATCAATACATTTGGTTCTCATAAATATTTAGTCAAACATTTTGTTAGTTGAAAGTTTGTCATACGGAAGTTTCACTATAATTATACTAGAAATATGTAATTACTGTGGACATTTATTGTAGACTCTCTATCATATATAACTTACTACACACCTCTTTCTATGCTTAGATATATTGATGTGTCCTATAATAAATCTTGGCTTTTATAGTGGCACGTGTTCAAGATTTTTCATTATTAAAGATAATCGCGAGATTCGTGGTGCTAGCATTAAAATTCAGTGTTGATGCACGAGGATCTCAAATAATACAGTCGTATTCAAGAGTCCATCTTAGCGTCGTACAATTTATTATTAATACGTCTTTACGATATAGGTACCATTATCTACAGTCTACAGCAGTGGTTCTTAACCTTTTTTGAATGACGGAACACTTAACATTTTATAAGATTTTCGCGGAACACAGCCGTAAAATAAAATAGTAATGTACTACATATTTTAGTTTTTTAATATATTAACCTAAAATGATTCTATACACAATACAGTATATTTGTATACACGTCTTATACTTTTGTGTGTTGGAAGTCCATAAAAATCAAAATGAAATTAAACATTTTTTTTTGGCGGAACATTTATACCAAGTCTATGGAACACCTGTGTTCCGCAGAACACTGGTTAAGAACTCCTGGTCTACATCTACAGTAGCCAACCTGCAGCTCGTCTTGGACCACGAGAAAATGCGATGTTTAAAAAAATGTTCGTTTATATTGATCAGGCCTTTTTTTTTTTCGTGTTTGAACCGACGGTGCCGCGGGGACTGCTTTCGCATTACTTCCGCGAAAATATTGATCAGGCCTAGGCGAGCGTAGAATATTCCAGAATGTCTAAATATAGATTATCTACTGACAACTTTCTATAGTGTCATGTGTGAGTTATGAGATACACACTTTGTGTTTGTGAATTTTAGGACAATATCCAACCATAAATATAATATAAACAGTAATACCATAGATACAAACAACAACATTGAATTTTGATTAACACATTTAAAAACTGAAAATATTTAATATTTTTTATTATTTTCAAAATTTACAACAAATTAACACAAATTATTTACCAACACAGCCCGAAAGGAAAAAAAACAAATCATGAATTCTAACAAAAATACCAGCAAAAGAAAGACGTTGATGCCTCGGAATGATAATAAACAATTAGTAAACCAACAAGATAAAACTAAAACCTATTCACTAAAAACGCTTAATAAAGTCGATTCTGTTGAAATTATTGAAAACATTTATAATTATATTTCGAATACTGACTTAATTAATGAAGTAAAACAAAGTTCAACCACAAACAATACAAAAACAATTGTTAAACAAGACTGCCCTAAACGAATTCTGGGATTAAAAGAACAATACCAAAACCCAGAATTGTCAAAAATGAGCAGCATAAACTCAAGATACCAACTAAATTTTAAAAACTATATTCAAGAACTCCATAAAGCATTAATGAAAGAATGCAATAATAATTTATTAGATTATGTCAATACATTAAACACAACATTAGACAGCGAATCTATGACGAGTTTCACTAATCAAACGTTGCAAGCTGTAAAGGTATGGAAGTATAGATTAAAGAATTAACCATTTTAATAACAATAGACAGTAAGAATAATAATTTTTTTTTAAAGTAAGCAAGTGGGTACTCCTTTGTTGTAAATAATGTGTTAAGTGGGTCACTGCGTAATGGATGCATTAAATTTGAATACAATGATATTATACAAAACCATAACTATCGTATACGAAAAACGATTTTTGGCGTAAACCTCTCAAACCTAACCTGTCAGCCTATATTGCTATAATAACTATATTTTATGATATTATTGCTATTAAAGTAATTTATTTTGCTGTTAGTAATACAGTAGGTTGAATAATTTTTTTCCCAAGCATTTGATAATGTCATTATGTGTATAAAATATAATTATGTACTTTAATAGCTACAATTACCCACGAATAATATTTTTTTAATAACAACGAAATAACAGAAATTGTTATTCTTTGTTTAAATAGGTAATTAATTTTATTTAAATTTTAGCTTCAAATATCTATAAAAATAACTGTGTTTATATATTTTTAAATGCTTTGGTTACAATAACAGTATTTACTAGTTATGAGAAACCTTGTCGTAAATTTAGTGTTCAATCCTCAGCTAAAACAATTAAATATTTTACAATTTTTTAACTACAGAATAATTTGAAAATGTTCGTGATTTTTACAAATGTAGTCTAAATTTGAACTTAAAATGCTTATAATAAAAAATTGTGCCTATGTACCTTTAATATTTTTAAACAAGTTAGTAATTACAATTATAATATCTACTAGGTTTTTGACCATGCAAAAAATTATTTATCGACAATAATTGAAAAAAAAAACTAAAAAAATTAATATTTCTTATGCCTAAAATAAATAGCTTAAAAAGAGTTAAAATATTATTACATTTTAATCATGTATAAAAAATGGTCATATAAACGTTTGGAAATTTTTTTAAATACCCACGGTTATTCGTATTTGAGTTCCACCAATGTTCAAAAATAATTTTGAATTTTCAAAACCCATAAGTGTCATCGGTGGGTGGCTTCTTAGCTCATAATTTCATGTTTTTTTATTGTGTCTCAGCTCATACTCTTATTGTGCCGATTGTGTACAGATTGTGTACTACTAATAAAGAAAAAAAAAAAGAAAAAAAAAAAAAAAAATTTTCAAAAACTGGTTTTAAGTAAATACTCCCGTTTTTTCTTAATTTTTCTTTTTTTTTCTCTACGTTTCTGAAAATAACTGATGGAATTTTTTACTTTTGATGCTCTCCAATTAGATTCACTTTTCTACCAGATAAGATTCTAAAGTAAGAAATGTATGCATTTGTACGGCCCCTAAAGATAATGAACAATGACAGACACAAAAAAATAATAAAAATAAAATAGAACACATCTTTTTAAAATCGCTCTGCTAAGAATCTAAAATATATTTTATTAATATGGTACCTATTTGTATAACTTATAAAGTAATATGTCCACTAAATAAAACAGAGGTTCCCAAACTGTGGGTCGCGACCCAAAAGTGGGTCGCGATTATACTTTTGGTGGGTCGCACTATTTTTTTAAATAGTACAAAAATATAATCATCTATTACTTTTCGTTGATGTTCAAAGTTCAAATTCAGTTTTATCGTCAATCCTTATCTGTGAGTATGACAATTACGAGTTTACCAGCGGCCGTGTCAAATACTATATATTATACTTATTATACATTTTTTTCGTAATTACATAAAATGTAATAAAATAGTTTAATTTTCTGTTGTATGGTAAAAAAAAAAAAAGGTCATTCATTGATATTGTGGGTCGCTATATTTTAAAAAAAATTCAAAATGGGTCGCACAATAAGAAGTTTGGGAACCTCTGAAATAAAATATTATTGAAATGCCCATTAGTCATTATAATAATATAATATGCATCATTAAATTATATTATTAACGTACCTACCTATATAGATAATATTATACAATTTAATAGTTGAGATTGTTATTAATTGTTTGCAGGATCAAAAAATATTTTCTGTATTAGGTTATTTCCCAAAAATTACTCTGGAGCTGAAGAACCGTGGTTGGGTGGAAAAACGAGACCCGTGTAAACCGCCGATAAATTATTCGTATTTTGTAAAATCATCACGTAAACATTTTTTTAGAATAGAAATAGAATCCTTCTAATTTTTGTATCGTATATGTACAATTTATGTTTCAAGCATACATGGTTAATTGGATGGAATCTCCTCCGATACTATCGTCAATTGATCAAAATGAAGCTGTCATGGAACGCCGGAAAAATGTGCAATCGTGGAGTATTCTTAAAGATAAAAGATCGGATTTTATTTTCGTCACTAAAAAAAGATTGATTCATTGGTCCACTTTAAGTGAATTGACTTCTGTCAGTCAGATGACGAGACACGTGTTTTGCACCAAAGTAGGTACTTACCTACTTACCTATATACATACCTACTTATTTACCTACCTAAAAGTTATTAAATATCTAGATTAATTGTTGATAAATTATTTTTAGTCACCTCGGTGGCATGGCCTATATGAATATTAAATATTTATACATTTTCAACTTTTAAAACTACCTATACTTGTACTCATTAGATAACACATCATGTAGGGTATGTATCAATGTATATATTTACCTAGATTGTAATTTGTAGGTACATTTTCGATCACTAGTATAACGCAGAATCTAAATATGAGGTAGGTTAGTAACTATTAAAACGTTTCTTTTACTGGCACACACAATGTATTAGGACATATAGATAAATACCAAATGGTGGAAAGTGTAGGAAATAAATAAGTTGAAACTAAAATACTAAATGCAACCGCTTAGAACTCATGATACAGGTGATATAGATATGAATGGAAATTATCTAAATAAATCTTATAAAATAGTATTTCGAAAAATGAAAGTAAGCTTAAACTCAAACTAAAATTTGTAACTCCTGTGTAATGGATTAACCTGGCAAACCTGCAATCCTTTTTTTTATAGCGTGTTTCTTGGGAGCAACGCAAACAATTTAATATTTAATAAATTATATACATTTATTTTTTATTTTTTTTATTGAACTTAAAACCGGCGACTAAGGCCATTAGCAGTTGTAGGGGTAAGGTTGGAATGGTAGGTTTGTTTTTACGATTGTTGCGGTTGTTATGGTAGGTAGCAAACACGTATATGTGTGGCAACGTTTTTAACTGCTATGAACCCGGGTGGTCACCCATCCGGGAGCTAGTAGCTGTGGCTGTTACTTACTCATAGTCGCATTCCGCGACCGGTAGCAGCCAACGCTCCGCGCCAAGCCACATACATTTATTTTATAGGTAATGTTACATGCGATTATTTTATAATTATTAAGATAAGTGAAGTTGTAACTTTAAATAACTTAAAATTACACTACCTACCATTGCCCACAATTAAATATATTGTGTTCCTACTCAAATCAAACTTTTGCCGGTTTTTAAGTACTGTGTAGTTACCTACTTGCGTATTATTATTTTCGTATAAATTAATTCTTTCTCACTATTCATCAACATTATTGTTTGATACAAAGTAGGTACATACGTTGAAGATCTAGGGTTAGTATGATGATGAATATTGATGAGTGTTGTATGTATCACAGACAATTAGATACCTAGTAATATTGATACTTATGTACATTAATCTCATGATATTAGTTGTTTGATGTGGACAATCGGTTGATTTTTTTAGAGTGGACAAATAATTTTATTTCTATTAGTTGTTACAAGCTATTAAAAATTATTTTTTAATAAAATTCATACCAGTAGGTACTATTTTTGTTAAAAAACATAATGAAGATTTTTAGAAAAAATACAAAACTAAAATTTAGTTACGAAAGTTTTTATTGTAACGAATTTTATGAAATAGATGTATATGTAATCTATAAAAATAAAATTTTAAAAATTGAATCAGATAATAATGCAGTTGATTTAAAGTGTTCACATTTTTAAAAAAAAATACATACTATAACAAATATAGTTTGGCGAATGCCTTAACTTTTCTGCAATAGTATGCTAAATAATTAACTATATGGTTAAAATACCTATATCAATGTTTTTTGAAATACAGAATGGTTTGGCAAAATCTTTGGAATCTTACAAAAATTCTGAGACAAATTTGATGTTTCCAAGATGTCATTTTATTCGATCCGAAGAAGACAAGGATGCATTTGTGGAAGATTACATCACAACAGCATTAATAAGCACACTCAGGATTATTGTAAAAGCGATTGAGAATAATAAAAGAATTTTTACTTTAAATGGAAATGTAAGTTTCAATTTATTTATATGTATTATGTTGTAGTGTACAAGCATAGTAACCTGTTTTATTCCTCAGATACCATACAAAATGATTGATTTTGTGAAACGATGTATATCAATATTTTTGAATAAACAAATAACTGGTAGTACAAAAATGGATTTGTGGAATTTTAAAAATAAAAAACAAGAAGTGTGGAACGAATTTATGATACATTACACAAAACTGATCTTAGATAACAATGCTAAATTTGATCACGAGTATACATATGAATTAGAAGTAGGTAAATTGGAAAAGGATTTGTGCAATTGTATGAACATTATTCAATATATTTATGATAAAATAATTGTTAATATAGTGGAGGGGGTGAAAGTTCAATAGACAGGCAAGTGAGTAACACTTTACTGTACATTAGATTTCGAGTGGGTCTGCACTGGCCACTGCAACGTATATAGTGTTAAAAAATGTCATTGTACAAAAAAAAACCAGTGTGTGTGTTACCAGTACGCGCGCGGGAAGTTAAGCTTCTTTTGAACGGTACACGTGAGTGAGTGAAAAAGAAAGAAAGGCATGGATAGACTGGAATAATGAGGATAATAAAGAAAGAAAAGAAACAATGTAAATTATATTTTTTATATTTTTTTTAAAAATTGTTTTCACCGACCAACATTATAATTTATAATACGTAATATTATGTACATGAGGTACTGATACGCTTCGCACCGCCGCCCCGACGACCGTATGAAATTATCCCGGACGATCATTTCGTTTTTATCTAAATAGGTATTTATCTCATTAATATTATTGTTGAGTATTCTTTGTTTAATAACCCAACCAACCTAACTCATAGCCGTTTACAAAAACAGCTTCGACAATCCGCGGCTGCCCACAACCACATGTCCATGTTCGTACGGCCGCCCGTTCGCTTTTTTTCCTCACTACCCTACGTAAAGAAATTTAACTTCAAAATTAAAATTTAATAATTATTTAACAATTATTACAATTTCAAGTACCTAAGTAGCTAGGGATAATACTTTTAAACTAGGTATGATAAAATAACTAAAAAATGTATTCCTAATAACTAATTTTGTTTAAATCTGAGCATAAAATTACCGATGAATATCCAATGACGCCATCGTAAAAAATAGAATTTCAAACATTCGTAAGAAATGTGACTTTTCAGTAAACCTCTTTTTATTTGTCAAACATAGAAAAACTTCCGAGAAATCATGTATTATATTCAAATCTTAGATATAAAAATACAATTTTTATGAATTTCTAACTCAAATTAATACTTAGATTGTATCAAATAAAAGAAATTGATAAACGAACAACTTATGAGAAGTATTTAACGTATTAAATAGGTATTTAAGTTTTTCACCAAACAAAATTTAATTGAAAATATTTTTAAAAATGTATACCAGAAAATATGCCGCTGTAGAAAATTGAAATATTGTTACCTACTTAAAATCTGCCAATAACTGCCCCAATAGGCGATAATAGACACACAAAAAAAATATTTATAAAAAATACACATGATTGTAAAATGAATAAATTAAAAAGGTCCAGTACTTTTTTCATGAGGAAATTAGGGGGAACAAAAATATAATTAGTGAAAACTGGAATTTTCACTTAAAATCGATTTTGTTATTTTGTTGTACCTAATTCAAAAACAAATTATTATAATGTCAGTATTTTCAATTTTCAATTTTTTTTTTAATATCAATTTTCTAACAAACTTTGATTGACACATTTAAGCTCCTTCAAAAAGCTTGAAAATTTCGTATAGATTCTTCATAAGTTTTACTCTCGGAATTTAATAAAAAGATGAGTGTAAATCTAGTATCTACAATATATCATACCCTGTGTAATTAGGTCGTGTAAGAGCAGTTTTTTTGTTGAGTGAAATGGTATTGACAAACAATATATTGGCAGTTTAGTAACGAAGGACTTTATTTGGTTCATGTGTCTTATTTTAAAAGGTGATGGTTGGGTGTCCTGGAGACTATTGGCATTTTACAGTTAATTTAATACTTACGATTACTGTACGCAAATACGTAATTACGAATATAAGTATTTATGATTATTGATGACTAATATAAATTATTGTGTCATTGACTTTAATGAAGTTCGCTACGCCACTATCTATTGGTAGGTATATACACATTTTTGCATCAAAAATCTGAAACCTATTTACTTATATTTGCGATAAGTCGGTATAGACTTATGTGTTAATAACAGTTAATTATGTATTCATAATTAGGTTCTATAGGCTATAAGTAATGTACGTGATAATTTTATATTAAAATTACCCAATCTACTATAAATCATAATACTATATAAACTATTAATAGCGATATAAATTTATTACAATATATCCTTAGAAGACAGACGACAGTCTTCACTCAGTATCATTTTTGGTATGCAATTATGGTGACCGGTCAAAATATCTCCTTAAAAATATCTTTATTTAAAATATATCAGATACTAAATATCTCTAGACGAAAATGTCTTCGATTTAAAATGTCTCCATAACAAAATATTTCCAGTAAAAATATCTCCTGAAAATATTTTAATATGTAGGTATTATATTTTATGTTAATATTAATGTTTTTATAACAATAATAACTAAAAGTTGGTCAAAAATAATATTTGAAAATATGTTATTGTTATCTTAACAATGTATAATAATATGTCACAATAATAAAATAGTAATGTTTGCCTTAAATATATAGAAAAATAATAAAAAAATGTATTTAAAATCTAAGATTGTGGCAATCCCCCTTAAATATTTCAGAGATGTCATTTCGTTGTATTGACCTACCACTTTAAACAATCGTTCATCGTAATCGTTGTACTTTTTTTTTACTCAGTACAACACCAAATTAATTTATTCACACCTTTTTTCTAAAATGTATAAAGGTCCATTATGTAATAATAAATTGTTTCCTTTTTGACTTACAATAAATTGTAGAGGCATTTTAAAACAAAATTCGTTGTGTACATTTTAATAAGAGATATTTTTGTCTCGAGGTATTTAGTATCCGAGATATTTTGTAGGAGATATTTCGACCAGAGATATTTTTGTTGAGATATTTTGACCTAGAACCATGCATCACAACTCATAGGTGCCTATTATCATTGAATTCAAATTGTACAAACCCGTTACAGTGACCTACTAAATATAATAACAATAAGAGTAGTTAAAATTGAATAGGTGATATTCCGAGTATATTTCGAAATTGGATTAACTGTTTATGAATTCCAACATATCTTCATTTTTAAAATAAAACAGCCTACCAGTAAAGTACCTAGATTTATATAAGGAGCGAAGGTATTATACATTCATAAATTGGTTTAGAGTATTATAATCTACTGTTGAAATATTACTTGTTCGTGGATAGGAGGGGGCGGTGCTCCCACACAATATGATTATCATTTACTATTATTAGGTTATTAGTTATTAGTTATTACCTACACACTCACAGACCAGTCTCACAAAAAGTATATTGTAATATTCAATCAGAGTTATTTTATAGCTAGATGTTTATGCGAAATGTAAATATTTACTGGAACACGTGAAAATATATTGTCCCCAACACTATATCGACGGAATAACTAACACATGGATCATAAAACCCACTTCAAGCTGTTCTGGTCACGGCATTATGTTATCTAGAGACTTGTTTACGATAAAACAAAAAATCACTGAAGCAGGTGTCTTGAAAAATAATTATATTCTACAGAAATATATAGGTAAAAATAATCCTTTAAATTTCGAAATTGAAGAATAACACTTCTTATATAATTTATGTTTCTAGAAAGACCCCTTTTGATTAATACATGTAAAATTGATTTACGACAATGGTTTTTAGTGACTAATATGAATCCTATAGTTGTGTGGATGTACAAGTTAGTATGCATAGTTTGAGTACGTAGCTATGCTATGATATGGTGTTTTGACAGTATATATTTATATTATATAGTTGCATAATATATCATATAGAAGGGTTCTATTATAAATAGTCAGAGCATCAATTATCATAAAGAATGTTTAAAAAATAACAACATTTTTTTTACAGAGAAGGTTACGTCCGTTTTTGTGCAAACAGTTTCTCCATGAAAAATATGCATGAATCGATTCATCTCAGCAACGTTAGATTGCAAATGAAATATAGAAAATATAGAAATCCACGAGTGCCCGAAGAGTGCATGTGGGATTACAGAGAACTTCAGAATCATTTGAGGTATAACTGGTATACCGTATACGTCAGTAAGACACCGCACCATATAGGCTTAAGGTATCTCAAGACCATAGTAATTTGAAATTTGAGTTAAAACCTATTCATTCTAATTCAAACAGTACCTACTCTGCAACGCTTAACACAATTGTTATTATGAAAATATATTAAAACTCGCCATAGAACACAATATAGTGAGAATGACGATACCAATATTTTTACTATGAATTGTAATACCTAAATGAGATTTAAAATTATCAAAATTAGTCATCCAAAATAATGTAATCAACTGAAAATAATTTTAAAATTGTGCTGTGATCAAATATTATTTCAGTATGGACATTGAAATAAGCATTGTGACGTAGGTAGGTACAATTAAAATAAGCAAAATTGCCTGATTAAGTGAAAAAAAATTGTATTACATTTTGTGTGGTCACTATTGTTAATAATATATGCATATTCGTGTGCGTAAAATAACGTGTGCAACGTTTCTGCCGCTTGACTAAAGTTCCATTTTCGTCAAAATGAAAAAACTAAAAAGGTTATGTTTTGTTTCCACCAAATAAATTTTTTCCTAAATTATCGTTTGAAAATTACTACTCATAATTCTGATAAAAATCTATCGGATGATGGATAATGTATATTTGTTATTATAACGAAATATAAAAATAACAATACCTATGTTATTATAATAACGAACAGTTTTGTATTGACTTGACGAATACGAATTGCTTCCTTGCCGTTGATCCACTCATTAGTTCACATATTTTCAATAATCATTCAAAACCTATAACTTGGTGCTACCTATCCATAGAAATTAGTTTCATATAGTAGGTAGACTAATCTACTGGACATTTTTTTCTTAAATTTTACATATTTAACAAATTGTATTTATAAGGTATTTAGGGTTGTATAATGTATTGGAGCAAAATCACTTTAGCTACCCAGCATGCATTTTGATTTTATTTTGAAACATATATCTATTTCAACAAGTTAAGAACAATTAGGCAAAAAAAAAAAATATTTATTTTGGAAGTTATAGCCATCCAAAGTTTGAGATTTTACGTTTAAGCGCATGCACGCTGTACGTGCTATATTGTCTCGCGCAAGTCTAAAATGAATTTTTCAATTTTCTTTTCTTTTGAGACTAGGTAAATTAACGTTTTAATACTTACCATAATAATATTAATATGAAAAAACCATTAGTTTTCAAATTATGAGTCGCCAGACCCGATGGCCAGTTAAAGTAATATAAGTATGCATATTGGCTCCCTTCGCCTACCGGCTCTGGTTGCCAAGCTCGAGGTAATCCGGACCTCTCGTTGGATAGGGGCTCGGCTCCAAAATCCCTCGGGGCTAAAATAGCCAACCTGTAGGGGAAGGGAGAGGTGACCTAGTTACTCATAAGTAATCTATACTGGAACCGAAAAATTAATATTAAAATAATAACATATTATACAATAATGTAAGCAAAAATTAAACCAACCCAACATATAAATATATAAATATAATAATATAAAATATTCTGTAGACTGACTAATATGATAAATTATACCTACTTAGGTTGTAACTTGTAATTTTATGACGGGCTGTCTCCGCTCAAATGTTTTTTCGAATCCAATATTCGGTTGATATACTATGGTGTATGACCTGGCATAGGTACAGCACAGCGTAAAATTTTATAATACCTTTACATATTTACTCCTATACTAATAAATAATTTTAAATGTTTATTTACATTCTTATTAATATATAATGATTATTTTCAACACATACATTTTAATGTTTCAGTTTTTTTATATTTGTATACTTACCTTATGGTAATTACCTTAGCATTTACATGCTTGATCTCTGTTTAAAACTAGGTTTTACTAGTTTGGTTAGGATTTACTGGTTGTACCTATACTGAGTAAAAGCTGAAAATCATAATTTAATTCGGGCCCTTGCTAAACTCCTTGTTTGTTACCAGCATGGCTGCATAATTGGATGTAAAAATGAAGGAAGTAAAATCTGATAAATACCCGATAAGTAAAAATGACAACTATAGATTATTGAAGAAAATTATTGATAGTTATCAGTTATTTAAACAACGAGGTCTTGATTAGCTCAACCAATCAATACTGTACATCGCTATGTATTAAATATTAATCAACTTTTATTTAGTTAGTTTGTTTTAGTTAAACAATTCTGTTTTTAAAATACATTATTTTTTATTGAAAAAAAATTATAAAAAAATATTAGTTTGATTCATAGTTGTATTAATAATGTATAACTATTTTTTTTTTATGTGTCATGTATTATTCAGATTTTAATAACTCGATTTGTACATCCAAGACTTAGTAAAAGCCCGAATAGGTAATATTACGATTTTACTGAGTTCAAACAGTAAATCCGAACATTAACTAGAAAACCCTAACTTTACCTAGTGATCAGGCATTAGTGGTAACATATTACACCTATTTGAGAATTTTTCAGTGCAAAAATGATAGTTGTATATTTTAACATTTTTTTTAGCCTATCTAGTCTCTAACGGGTAGAGTCCATAGCCCAATTATTATTTTTATCAATAAATTGTATTGTTTTATAACGATTTTCCTGTGCTCAAAATTAAATAACTTGGGTAAATAAAATAGTATATTATGATTTTGTTTGTATTTTCGTGTAATTGAAGTCTTATGATTTTATGTTATAGAAAAATTGGACAAGAATATGTATGGGATGAATTGATATTTCCCGGAATGAGCGAGAGTGTTTACGCTGTGTTGCAGTCCTCTAAGGACTCTTCGTTGTACCGCAACAAAACTTTTCAGTTGTTCGGAGCTGATTTCTTGATCACGGACAACTTTATCCCGTATTTGATCGAAATCAATTCTATTCCAGGACTGAACCCGTCGACGAGCGTTATCGCCAACTTAGCGCCTATGCTCCTTGGTGATATCGTAAAAGGTATATTATAATTGTTGAACTTTGCATCTAGTGGTGTATTTATGGCTTGGGAGAGGGGGTAGGGCTAATGGTACTAGAATATGTGGCGGGTGTGGCTTCCTCTTAAGCATTAGTACTACAGTTCAATTCATTTTCGCCAAAAATTTCATTCTGTATAAAATATACTCTAAAAGTTTCAATTAGATAAGTACCCATAAATACTATTTTTAAATAACAACAAAATAACTTTTTTATTTTTAGATTTTTTAGTTACAAAATTAAGTACATTACATCAAATTTGTTTTAATTTTACGACACTTAGCTATACAAGTTAAATATTTTACAAATTAAATTAAATATTTTATAAATATTTAACAACAAAATAATGTAAAAAATAAAATAAAATTGTATTAACATTTATAGAAAAAAAACCTACAAAATTGAAAATTGAAAATGTCCGTAAAAAGCTCAAAACGAGACAAAATATTTTGAAAATGTTATCAAGTATATGAACTGATAAAATAAACATGCGGCGTAAATTTCAAATATCTAAAGTTATTCGTTTTTTAATTACAATAAAATAAGAAGATCGCTACATGAGTAATCGAATATTCAATTTGTAAAAATGTCATCCTCAAACGCTCATAACAATTTTATTTGATTAACCTGTGGAATTTTTTTTTGGTAAAGGTAGACAAATTTCTAAGGAATCTTGTATTTAATTTTAAAATCTTAAATATAAAAATAAAAAATTTCCGGGGAGATAATTCCCAATCCTAAGGCTGATGAAAAAACGTATGTCCTTATTCGTCCAGACGTCGGGCACATCGTATAGTGCAGATCGATAAAAGAAAAACGTACGTTACATTAGATTTTATTTATTTTGAATATTTTGAATATGTTTAGTAAACACTAAATATCAATGGTTATTGTAGTCACGTCGTTGTAAAGCCTTCGTTTCAATTACCTTTACTTTATTAGATAAAGTAAATAGTCGATTCTCAATCTTATCATTCATTATTTTAATTTTTATATTACGTTCGTACGTTTTGTATCCAAAAATGGTAAAATCCAGTGGAGACCTTAAGGCATTTTCAATGCGTTTTAGGGGTGTTATCGTTGAGTAACATTTGCAACAATTGTGCGCTACATGGTTTTAGTATAAGTGGCATGGGACAATAATTTCCACATGAACAAGATGTCTGTATTAAATATTAACATAATGGCTAAACGATAGAGCTCGGCACCACTGGATCGTACAGTGAATTTAGGTCCCGTTGGACCAGGGTCGTATGCATGGATGTACCTTGGTTTGTCAGTTTCTATGTCGTCGGCGGCGGCAATTGTCGACGGCGACAGATCACTGGATATCACGATCACCGTATAAGTTCCTGTTACAAATATTCTGATACTAAACCTGATTTTATTTTATACAGTTTTTCCATTCCTTCCATTCCACTTTACCTTTCCACTTTAAAATGTATAAAAGAATGCATTGCAAATTGTCATTTGTAAATCATTGTATACCGAATAAAGATTCTGAGCGAAGACGACCTGTCTATAATATTAAATAGTAATACACTATGTTGTTGAATGATATAATTGTGATTATAGTAATTTATTTTACCATTAGGGCATTAAAAATTGGTACTTAGGTAGGTTTAATTTATTTTTTTCAAAAAAATATATTTGAAAAATCATAATGTGTGTAAAATATAATAATATACTCTAAAAGTTTCAAGTAGATACCCCCGAATAACATTTCTAAATTACAACAAATTAACTCAATAGTATCAGTATTTTTCAAACACACATTGTAAAATTAATACGTTTATCGCTTAACTCAGAATCTAAAAGGATAACTAAAGATATTGAAATCATAATTTGATATTATATAATAATACAGAGTATAGATAATGTTTATACAAAGACGTTAAGTAAAACAAATTTGACGATAAATAAATAACAATTTTCTAATACCAATAAAATGATGGAATTAAAAAAAATTGTTGGACCCTCCCCCCTCTTTGAGTTAGTACCTAACACCTTTATTGAAGCATAGGAACTTATTTTTTTGTAAGCATGGTATACTTTATTTAATACGTTCATATTTACATTTAATATTTTAAATACCATTTAATGGTATTAACAGGGGCGCAATTTCAATAAAAAAGTGGGGGTGCTGAAGCCCCTTTTTTCATATTATCTTATGGTTGTGGATGCCTGCATAATGACTATTAAAATAAAAATAAATATGAAAAATATTGAGGGTGCTAATTTCAAAATTGGGGGCGCTAAGCACCTTCAAGCATCCCCCTCCCCAATTGCGCCTATGGGCCATCAATTTCAAAAAGTTATATTTATAATGAATAATATTTAGTAAAGATATTTATTGTTGATTAGAGAGACCTAAAATTGTGTTGTGTTTAATTTTTTACTAAACCTATTTACCACTTATGTACAAATAAATATAAAATATTGAATTTTATTTTATGCAATACCAAAAAATGTTTATGTAACGCTCCCTTATAGAGGCTCTTCAAGTTTGACCTATCTATAAATATTGAAAAATTATATCATCTATACCTGCGGTTTCGTTTTTCTGAGGTACCTAGTATTAGGATTACTATATCAGGTTTTTTATTTAATTGCTATAATAATTGCATAGCTGTTATGTGTAACATAATTATTGTATAATGAAAAATTGGTAGATATCTTACCAGTTACCATGTTATCAACCTCATCCTATAAACAAATGTCAAAAGTTCAAATCTTTTAGGTATATATATCGGAGTCTAAATGATTTAAAGTTAGGAACACTAAAAAAATACTGTAATATTAACATCGTACCTACTTTTGTCGCCTAAACAACGTTCGTAACAGTGACGGTGGACTTTGAGGAAAACCCGAACGCCGACACTGGGCTGTTTGTCAAGGTTGTTCCGGAAGAGTGTAAACCAACGGCGGTAGTCGTAATGGATAAGCCACTGAACTCGTTGGCGGAGGTGACTGAGGCCGCAGATCCAACAACGTTTGACTCCGGCACGTTCACTACCGGTTACCATCGCCAGTGGATGAAAAACATCAATAAAAAATTGGCCGCACTTCGGATTCGGGTGAACACCCAACAGACACGCAGTTATTTGAATAGTAAACATCAGAATACTTGATAATATGAAATTATCATAAGATATTAGATAGGTATATCTAACGTATAATAATTGTTTTACATGTAAAATAAATACAACTTTATTTTTTAATACCTTCATTATGTTACAGTAATTGACTTGTTTTGAGAAAAAAATAATATATAAGTAATACCTACCTAATTTACTAAAATTTCAACTATACTCAACCAATAATTATGGGTAGTTAAGTCCTACGTACCTAAGTAATTTAAGATGCCTTTACGCAGGCTCGGATCCAGTCGAGGGAGGTATTGGCGACAGACCCCCCCCCCCCCGTTGGCCTTTTTATTTAAATTTAATATTTTGTATTACCCTATGTAAATGCAATGTAACATTATTCAGTCACAAATCGTCGTATTTTATTTTATTAAAACCCATTTATAAATTGTTGATGACAATATTATGACCGATTGAGGGTAAATAATTCAATAAAAGCATTCAATTCAGCTTAAGAAAAAAAATATTCATTATATTTAATAAGCAATTATTGCATATTTATAATGTATATGCATATAAATATATACTCGTATTTACCAGTAGGTAAATAGTAAATATATTTAGATATTTATAATCCGCCCCTCCCGTTAATGTAGGCTGGATCCGCGCCTGCCTTTAAGTGATATATTATGCTCAATGCGGCCTTTTTTTTTAGCCTTCATAAAAAATGTTAGCTCAACAATTAAGTACACAATATGGCTTTATATCATGTATAAATATATTCTATCACGAATAAACACCATAATATAAGAATATAAGTTTACAATCAAACTTCTTCGAATCCAGTAGAATCCTTGTAACTGTTTTTTTTAAATTTCAATATAATTAACACCTTGTAGCTTTAGTTATAGAAATTGTACGTATTATTATTAAAAAATAAAAACACATAATATACGTCATTCACTATTTAAATTAAATTAATATTTTGTAGCTTTGAAAACATTGAGCACAATTGTGGATTGGGATCCATTTTGCCTACTATTATAAAAAAATTAGGCCCTATCCTTTTACAACCTTAATGTTCTTATGTTAGACAGATTATTCCACTTTAAATTTTAATTTATAGATTCGCTCCACCCTCTTGATAATTGTCTAAGCCTCTAAGGACTCCAACAACCCCCTCACAAATGTTAGGGCTAGTTGCGTCATCACATATATGATAAATGGTCGAACAAAATTTTTCGATTTACCTCTTACGCTTAACTTCAAAAAATGCGGGTAAGTTCTGCTGTATATTAGGTGTCTAGAGCGTCGCTATAATTAATGGTATTAAATTTGCATTCAATGATATATATATATATATATATATCATTGTATACGAAAAACGATTATGAGCGGAGACGGTATGTCAGTCTAGGATATTTTACATTGTCAATACTTATTATTAAAACGGACGTAGTCTAGCCGGTAAGTAAAATTAATATTATTCTTAAATTATCAGTGATGCTGTAAAAATGTTGTATATACTTATGTAAAATTGTGTTGTTTTATAACCAAATTACAACAAAATGATTAAAATTGTTATTGTTTTGTGTTAATACCCATGTAATTTCGTATAGATTTGAACTTGAAATAACTATATAATATGTGTTTCTGTTTATTTTTAGATTTTTTGGTTGCAAAATTAACTACTTACATAGAACCTTGTTTTAAATTTTCAATACTTAGCTTTAAAAGTTGAACATTTAATAAATTTGTAACCACAAAATCATTTTTAAATTTACTATTTGAGAAAATGATTATAAAACAAAAAAGTGAATATGTATTTTAATATTTTTCAACCGATATTATAAAATATAACAGGAGCCTTGCGTTAAATTTTCACGCTTTTTGGTCCATCAAATACAATTTTATTGACATGTACACACAAAAGTAAAGAAAATTGAAAATGTCCTAAAACAGCTCGAAACGAATCAAAATATTTTGAAATTTGTATAAAAGTATGTGAATTAATAAAATAAACATTTGGTGTAAATTTCAAGTATCTACAAGTCTTCGTTTTTGAATTACAAAAAAATCAAAAAATCGCGACATGAGAAATCTAATGAATATCCGAAGTTCTAAAAATTTCAACTTAGCGCTCATAAAAATGTAATTTGAGTTTCCGGTAGACATCTTTTGATACAGGTAGACAAACTTATGAGGATTCTTGTATTACATTTTAATACTTTGATATTAAAAGGAACATTTTTATGAATTTATAACTCAAAATAATTTGCTAATTCTGGTGATTTTAAACTTAAATTTGAAATTCAGTCGGTTATAAAAAAAATATGGTCCACTCTTTTTTTAATTTCCACGAACAATAACTTATAAGGAACTTTTTATTATATTTTCAAGTGTATTGACAGGGTTAACATTTTTTTTATAGACATTAGTTGAAAAAAAACTAATGATAAACGAAATTTTCATATGCCTATTAGTATTTCGACAAGAGTCAAAATATTATGAAAATTGTATGGTGTAGAAAATACTAACACTAACTTTCAGTGAACATTTCATGTATCTATGGTCATATTTTTAGAGTTGTACAAAAACCAAAATCGATTTTTTCAAAAACTGGTTTTACTCGAAAATTTACGTTTTTCCTTAATTGTTCCTTGCTTCTCCAGTTGCTTTTGAAAACCTTTTTGAATTTTAAATTTTGACTTTCCGAATGCACAAACTAGATTTACTTTCCTTCCAGAAAAGTTGCTGATGAAGAAAACGAATCACTTTTACTGCCACAAACCGTGATGATAGACACAGAAATAAAAAAACACACATCATTGTAAAATCAATACATTCATCGCTCCGCTCAAAATCTATTACATATAGGTAATGTATAAAAATTAGTAAATGTTAAGAAAATCAGATGGTAAATAAACATTACATAAAAATATAATAATATATCCCGAAAATGATAAATTCGCAGATGCTCCCGTAATAGTATTTATGTGTGTACATATAAAAAATAATTCAATATTCTTCCCCTTTGGGGAAATAATTTACGTATATTTATGTAATTTAGTATGTACGTTCTGTAGAGAAATTACGTATATTTACGTCATTGTTGAGTTATGGTCTTATGGACTTCTGGTGTCATAGTACGGTCAGCGAAAAGTGGGCCGCGATACCAATGCTCCGGGTGGCCGAATTCATCAGGTCTTCCCGATTACCTATATGCGATTACGCTTAAATACACTACTATAGGAGCGTAACGCTCGCGGCTCACTTTTCGACGGAAGTACTATAATCGAATTTTAGTGATTGTAATTATGTTTGTATAGATTTTGAACATATAATGAAATATGTGCGGCCATCACCCATCTGTCAATGATTTTTTGCAACGTATGTGAATTACGTATTGTAATGATATGCTCACACATCATTGTAACAATTATTTAAAATATAAAAAATAAATAAATAACGGCCAGACTGTCACACGTAGAAATCGGAAATCTCCAGACCCCAATAAATCATCGTCTCAGACAAAATAGTCTAATTATATTATTCGATCAGGGATTAAGAAAATCGACAAGTACCTATGTTTGCAACTGTAGAGCGTAGGGCATGTGGCTTTCTTACACGCCGCCGGAGAAAAGGTATGGTAAAAAAGGTCCTTGTCACAGAAGAGAAATCGGATGTACAAAACAACCTTTTGATGAAGCCGCCCATCACTCTCTGGTCGGCACAACCGCATCGTCCCTTCGGCAGTGCGTGAGCACCTCTCCAATTCAACAACTTCTCACGAGTGCAGGCGCACCACCAAACAGATTAACAACCTCTCTATACCGAATTCTACAAGCGACAACTGGACTCCTTTTGACGAGCAATATTCAGTGTGTCTCTTTATTTTTATTCGAGTATTTTAAATAATTAATTTGTGTCACCTAAAACTCCTACTGCATAACCCAGAGACAGATGCGAGTCAGGTAAGACATAATATAATATAAAATATGGTATTATTGACTGCATTATATTAAGTTATATGCGTATACCATTTACATTTATATCGTACAGTGTATTTGATCAAATTCTCGAATACACGACCTCGAGAGACGAGAGCCCTCCGACGATCAGGAGGAAGGTATAATAGCGTAAATTTAGATCATTTTAAATATTAGTGTCAGCAGGCGTCGTACTAATATTTACGATGATTCTCCATATTATTTTATTCTTTAATAATTTTACTTTTATTCTATTTTTTGCGTTATTACAGTATTACGTAAATATACGTCATTATTACTTTTCAAAAATTGTAAATTAATTATTATATTATATTATTCATTCTGTGGGTGATAATGGTATAATAATAATTCACACTTCAAAGGGTTAAAATAATATAATGTAATCATATGAGCACAGATTAATGATTATTAATTAATGATTACAATATTAATGTGTACTAATTAAAAATTAATATGTACATACATAACACATGTCACATAGGATGGTAATTAATAATTATATAAATAAAATGAATGATAAAAATAATATGGTAACCGGTAAGTACCTTTATGCCTTTATGAGCAAATGTGACCGTAATAACTGCAACATGACATACGATCTTGCAGGGTGTATAAATGCATATTTTCGGTAACTTATGATTTTATATAGAGAACACTACACGAACATTTATTGTCTTCGTATTTGTGTATAATAAAAACTCACACTCAGACTATCACGTTCAGCTTTATTAGTTTAAAAATTAGAGTGAATCGACTTATTCTGAAACTTGTTGGTAAGAACATTATCTGTGTTTGTATGTGGGTTTTTACGATAAATCATTTTTTATGTTACTACCTTTTGTAAAAAGACTCTCAAACAAACACAGAAAATGTTCTTACCATCAATTTTAATAACCAGTTAGGTTAGTCTAATTTTTAAACGAACGAAGTTAAACGTGATCTGCTGAGCGTAAATTTGCTACCCATGTTATATTGTTATGCACTTGTAAGACGGAGACAACGAATGCCCGTGTAGCGTCCTCTGAGGACGTCATACTCACACATGTTGTCTCCGTCCAAAATGTACGTCAAGCAGTTCCAAATTTGTGTTTATAAGTTAATATTTTATATACTCATAAATTATTCGTAATTCTACTTAAAAATTCAAACATCGTAAGAAACCAACTAGGTATATAACACAGATAATGTTAATTAAATTTCAATGATATATCAATTATTCACTCTAAGCTAACGACACAAAATTAGAATTGCTCGATTTACATTTTGATATACCTATTGTTAAGCGTTAGTCAGATGGAGACAACGCATACCTACCTATATGTGGGATTATAGTACACTACAGCTTAATCCTTCATTAGTATAAGAATTTATTACAGTTAATACAAATGGACATGGCGTAAAACAACGGTCTATAAATTACACAATACATATAATCAATGGATACATGAACACATCAGTTATGGTTATAGCTTTAAAGTAATGTAAATCTTAATCACGGACAAACAAATATTGTAAAAGAACTATGATTTTAGACATACCTATATCAACTAGGTAGGTACTTATTTATATTTCTAAATTTGAAGGGAGTTTTTTTTCTGGTTCATAGTAGTATTGTATAAGTGAGCACATTATCTATATTCTGTAGCCTACACAGTTGATTGTAGATAATTAATATATGTTTCAATGTTTCATGATGTTAAGTTTAAAATTAAGAATAATTTAGACCATACCTTTTGGTTTTAACGGCATAGACAGTGTACTCTCGAATATCCGCCGTCTTCCGCGGAATCATCTACATACCTAATATGTATACAAAAATATATACCTACATGGCTACATACATTCATGATACATAGATTTATGCACATTATAAATCATTATCTGTTTAATTGGGTGATAATTTGTGATAGCCGATTACTCGTTAAAGACGTAAAATACAATACGCTCGTTTAATTTTATACCTTTTTTATGTACATTGTATTATGTTCCTTTAATACTATAGAGTATAGACCCTCGAATGTACATAATATATGTATCATATTTATCGGTTTAATTGGGTTGCGATAGTCGATTACGCGATAACGTATATTACATTGCATTACTTTGAGGATTGTCCGCGGAATTCGGTTATCCGTGGATGTCCTGAGCCTGACACCATATTCCGCGGATAATCGAGAGTACAATGTACCAGCAGGTACAATATCAGTACATTTATGTAACTATATGCACATGCAGTATGCACAAATTTTTTTAGTACACAACCGATTTCTTAATGTTTTCAGTTACCAATAGTATAATTAAAATGTATTTATTTATTAAAAGACAACATGGTTGATGATAATATGGTTACAATGTAAGTAATTATTTTTACAATAATCATAAATCATCGTTTGTACGTAATTATTATTATTTTATTTAAAAAAGAGCGGGATTTTTGAAAAAGTAACGCACCAACGTCTGTAGTACACCGCATTTTCACTGTAAGCGCTAGTAATTTTCATGTTTTGATTAGTACGCAACAAGCCGCTAGTTTTCGAGGGTGCACACACTGCACACCTACCTGATGCACACAAACATCGTGACAACGTATTATTGGCGCCATTGTCGACCATCCTAAAATTCTAACCTGTAGCTGTGTTTCTTTGCTCTTGCTTCGTTAATGTTTTTTTCTCTCAACGCTCGTGTAGTGAAACCGATGCCGGCTTTTTAACGTCGTTCGCATTGTGCTCTTAACGTACCTGTGTTATGAAATAAAATTTCTGCTGTGATTTTCTCGTATGTCGATAATTGTTTGATTCTAGATAGGTATCTACGAATTTTTTTTCGGGAATTTAGTTATTTACGCCCGTTGTGAAACGCCGCTCCGCTGTGCTTAGCGACATAACCAACAACCACCATGTCCGACAATCTCCCGTCCACCAAACTTGTGGAGCAAGACACTATGAATTTGGTAAATGTCCACTTTTGTTTGTAGCGACAAACGCCTTATTAATAATTTACTTCATTTCTTTCTAGAATATTTCTGATCCAACATGTTCATTTGAAGTAATTGGTCCTCAGACTACAATAAACGATGGTAAGGCATAACAACTTCTCATATTTATGTGTCATCATTTCGAGTAATTAATATATATTTTTATTATTATTAATAATATACGGCCTTGATAGACATTGTGTATCAATAAGAGTCCCCACACACTGCAGCAGTAAAATGAGTCCAGACACAATTTACCGCCACCACTGCGGCATCGTTAAGACAACAATTTTACGTTCGCCGCTCCAGTGTGTGTGAACCTTAACACAATTGTATCAATTATCCATGTTTCTATTCAGGGGCTTCTACTTAATATCTTACTCAAAAGCTTATTATTTAAATTAGTACATTATCGACAAGGGCTGATTGGTAATTTATGTTGGGTCAGAATATATGATTCAAACCATTTCATTGGCTACAAATGTAGCTTTTTCTTACCCTCCAAACAAAGTATTATTTTCCTTTTAATCTTATACAATGAATAGAATATTTAATTAATGTTCTCAGCATTGCTACACAAAAAAATTTATAAAAAAATTAGAATGAATCATTATTTGGTTTATTTGATTTAATAATAATATAATTAATCATTTTACTTGCCTGCGCGGGTATTTCATTTTATTTTTATACATGTAATTTTGTCATGGGCTTGTAGTTTCTAAGAAAATAAAATCTAGTAGTAAAAAAACTTTTAAAGTAAATAAGTATATTATATTATCTAATAGACACAATGACATTTTCAAATGCAATGTTTTTGACAACAATTAATTCAATTCACTGTCTTACTAATAGTAAAATAAATTACTTTAATAGCAATAATATAAATCCCCCAATATAGGTTGACAAATTGTCTGTGCTCAAAATGGTTTTTTTTACCCAATGATTTTATATCAGTGCCCAAATAGATACCATCTGTATAGTAGAGTGGTACTAACTTGCCTACCTTTTTCTGATTACTTATAGCATTGACTTTATATTATATAGTTAAGTTATCCTACCTATATATTAATGCTTATGTGTTTATTTTTTGTAATTTTTGTATTTTTGCGTACTGCTATTTAAATAAGTTTAAAAAAATATATAAACTATAAGGTTTAAAAGGAACTATACTTTGTGGTTTTTAAAAACCTTACCACTAGGCCCACTAGAATTTTGTTACAACTTACTTTTTCATAAGGGTGCAATCTATAAAATTATGATGAAATGTTGAAAAATTCTTTCATAACATAAGGTACTATCAAAAATAATCATGATGGCAGCTGATCACTTTCCCCGGTACGCATTTAACTGGAAAAACTACACAACAGATTTTTCTGAATTTATGTTCAGTTATTCCTGATTATCTTTTGAAGGTTTCTGTACTGATTTTAGCTTTCTATTTCCCCTTTAGCACTCTTCCTAAACATTCTAAACAAGTATTTAGGCAAAAAAAAAAAAATTTTAATAGTTGACATTGGTTACAGATAACCATATATATTATTTCTGGTATAAACATCCCTTTTTCTCAACATATACTGCACAATGTTTAATAATCTGCACACAAATCAATGCATTATTATTTCCGTTCAGATATTACTCAACCACTTAGCTTTAAAATATCCTAGTTCATTAAATATTACATTTAAATGAAACAAAAATTCACCATTGGTCAATATCTCTTATGGATACACATATAACAAACACATTTCTACGAATAGAACAACTGAAAACAACTACAGGACCTAGAAAATAATCCCTAATTCAAACAAATTTTCTTTATTGTTCACAGTACTACGCACGGCCAAATGGTAAAAATGTGATTAAACAAATTATGATTGCATACAATTGTCTGCATTGTATTTATACCTATTTTGTCATTTAGGCTAATAAAGCTATTCTATATAAATGTAAAATTGAGTAACAGCTACTAACCAATAAATATTAGAGGCAAAGTGTATGATTGAGGTTTATATCAAGATTTCAATAAAAGAACTTAATAATTGATCGATTTTGACAAAAAAAAATTGAAAATATTTCAACTGAAGCAAAACACAAAAGGTTAATGGATAGATTATGATGGTAGTTGGCTATAGAACAGATTTTTTTTTGGTGGCCTATATAGAAATAAACAAATGTTGACCAATTGGCATCAAAATGTGCACTCATATTATTTGTAATTCCGGATGTGATATTAGAGTATTAGAATAGAAGCCACAGTAACAACTTTTATATTTTGATTATCCAGACATACTTAACCTCTTTTTCTTAAAGTCCACTTTTTCAAATTTTTGAGATTTGTTGTACTACTTTTAGAATATTCTGTAGCAATACAAACTTTTGTGTTTTGAATAAGAGCACCCCTTTTTAATGTAAATTATTTATTGGATAATTTTTCTGAACATTATTTTGACTTATCCAGATTAATATTAATGTGTTTAGTTTTATTGCTAAAATTTGTTTATTAAGGATTATTGGTCTATGATGACTGGTTTGCAAAATATTATAGAGGTTATGGTGATTTAAAAATGTTTCAGTGATTAAAATTAATATATCAACATTAATCATTTGTAAAAATGGCCCAAGTATTATAAATACAGGAATAAATACTATATCTAATATTACATATTTTAGTTTATATTTTTGTAGAACCATTGTTCAGGACTTTTATTTTTAGTATGAACATTTTTTTAATAACTGAGTAACTATAAGATCAAATTTTGAATTATGTAAATCAACATTTTCAAAAAGTGGTCCACTAAGTAATTTTTCAGCAACAAAGGGAAGGTTCTCATTTGAAAAACAAAAGTTTGTTTTGCCACAGAACTCTTTAAGTAGGCAGTTCAAAATTTAAAAAAAAAAGTCTGATGCTATTTAAAAATTCCAAAAATCACAATTCAATAAATTCCATTAATTTTATTATTTCAAAATAAATAAACAATAACAAATACCTAAAACAACAATTTATTGAAAAATAAGAATTAATGCAAATTTTAATCACAATTTATGATAAAAAAAATAAACATTTACGGCATGGCTATGTGGAGAATATTGACCACTAGTACTTTATGGACTACTTTGTGATATATCAACGACACTACAACTATGCATTGTATAATTATTATTTTATTATGTTTCTTGTCTTGTATAGTTATTTATAAATTATCTTTACAGAATAAAAACACAATTTGATCCATGATCATTACCAGGGCTCGTAAGTTCATGCCCTAAATAAACGCCTAAATAAGCATGCCTTTATGCACTCAAAATTTGCAAAATATGCATTGAAATATCCCTTAAAAAGTCGCATTTGTATGCACTAAATATCTAAAACTATGCACATAAAAAATGCTGACTTATAAAAATTTTAAAGTATTTTAATTATAAAATGTAATTATAAAGTAATCATGAAGTTTTTACTACTGTATAGCTATTTAATTTAATAATTTTATGTTGCGACCGAATTCCCAAAAGATATATATAATATTATAATGAGAAATTATAAACTATGGTTTTTTTTTTCTGTTTAATGTTGATTCTTCAATAGTATTTCCATAAAAAAATGCAAATCGATATAAATATATAATAATATGAATAGACTTTTCAAAATCATGTATAAAATGCCTGATAAAATAGAAATATGCATAATTATGCCAAATAGGCCAAGAACCTCCAAATATGCAAAATAAGACTTCACATATTTAACTGTGGTATCTTGAAATTAATTTATATGACCTCTAGCATTGCAAATGTATATGCAAATGCATGAACTTCAGAGCCCTGATCATTGTCCTTATTATATAAGCTAAAAATTCCCAAATTGCGAGTCGCAACCCAAAAGTGGCTCACAATTATATTTTTGATGGGTCACATAAAGTTTTGAAATACTTATGTATTATATATATTTTATAATATAAAATATTAGATAAATTATTATAAAATATATTATACAATATACATAAACAGAAAAGATATATTTTGTGTATAAAAATGATAAAATTATTCTTAAGTATTTTCTGTGTAGCTATATTGTACATATTTTATTACTTTTTGTTAACATTAGAATTTGAATGGTCCTTTAAATGTAATTTGTTGAGTTTTTCTAGCATTTTACATAATTATTTAAATTGTATCTAAAATATAATATTAATAAATAACAAGAAATAGATTGGCAATTATGACATATTCTGTGTGAAAACTAAAGTTTAAAGTGTAATATTAAACATCTAAAGCACCTAAGTCGCGATTCCTTTTTTTATATACCAACTTGACATATTTCAAATGGTTACGGCTAACCTTCACTTGTGCGATAATGTAAATTTATTCTTGAATCTAATTTTTCATATTTTGAAGATTCAAAGAATAAATTAAATTATTCTTGCTACCTAATATTTTCATTGTTTTTTTAGTGAATTTTGTACCACTGTATCACAGTTCACAGCCAGTAATAGAAATTGGATTTTCTTAAAAATTAAAAATTTAGCATAACTTATAAATTATATACATAATTATAACAAGGATTTTTATACTGTAGTTTGTTGCTTGCATGATGTTAATTATCATTCTGGATTGTTTTTAAAATTTAAAGTGACAGTTTTTTTTATATTTACTTTGTTACAGACTCCAACTATGATAATATCCAGAATAGTGCATGTAGTAAAACGATGGCAGTGAAGACAGGTAACCAAAAATCAGAATGTGATATCATTTCATCCAAAAATAAAAATATCAGATGTAGTGAAGAAAATCTAAACCATAATGATAGCACAATGAGAGAAGTCTTATTTAGTGATGGCAACAGTTTGGAAATGAATGACATATTAAGTGATGACAATGACAGCGATTGGGAAGATATTGATGACAATGATGGTGACAATAATGACAATGTTTTATTATGTGATGACAAGGGTTTAGAAAATATGCATTACAACAATGATCCTAACTTTTTAATTGACGACAGCGATTGGGAAGATATTGATGACGATCATGATTCTGTCTTTTTAAGTGATGTCAACAGTTTGAAAAATAATGATGACCATAATGATGCTGCCATATTAAGTGATGACAATGACAGCGATTGGGAAGATATAGATGACAGCGATTGGGAAGATATAGATGACAGCGATTGTGCTGATGATAACATTGTTTCAATAAGTAATGGCAGCCGTTCGGAAAATATTGAAGCATCATCAAATAATACACAAAATGATTCGCCAATAGACCCTATACTGTCAACATTGAATTTTGAACAAGCAAAAGTATATAATTATATGAATTCAAACCCCAAAATACAAAGTTTGATATATGAACGTTCTTGTGATGATACTATTGTGATGTATAATAGCGATGAAATTCTTGAAATTCTTGAAGCTAGACGAGTTTTAGGTGGTAAATCGTTTTTTTTAGTCAAGTGGAAAAATTGGTCAGTAGGATTTAATACATGGGAATGTTATGCAGCTCTACATAAATCGCAACAACACATTATTGATTGTTTTGATAAAAAACGAGTTTTTAAAACACCCATAAATATAATGCATCTAATGTTAAATAGACACATTATTACAGAATTGTTTGAAGCATTCAGAACTCCGACTGGATTATCTTTCCCATCATATTCTCTTGATTGTGTTTCTCATTTATTGAATACTCTTGAATACCCTGAACATGATGAAACATTGCGAAAAAAGTTCATAAGATCATATTTGTCAACAATATCTTTAGACTTTTTTAGACAACTGCAATTTCAAAGTCTCAGACAGTGGGAAATAGATATAAATGTAATTTCAATAAATTTCAATGGTCAAAATATTAAAGTAGAAAATAACATGGACCTTGAAGAACCACCGAATTCATTTGTGTACATACCTAATTGTACTACTGAAGCCAAAATTATCGTCCCAGGAAATCCTCCATCAGGTTGTCTTTGTAAAAAAGCCTGTCAATCTTCTACTGATTATTGCAACAAGATCTCTCATGCTTATGATATGTACAAGAAATTAATAGTATTCTCTGATTGTCCAATATTTGAATGTAATAAGGAATGTAAATGTATGTCATCTTGTATTAATAGAGTAGTTCAACATGGTAGCAATGTGAAAGTTTGTATTTATAAATCTAGGTTCCCTGGCTGGGCATTAAAGTCTTATGAAACCATTGAAAAGGGTCAGTTTGTAGGCATATATGCTGGTGAAATTATTACAGTTAAAGAATATAATCAACGTTTACAAAATTCTTCATCTTCTATCGATTACACATGGGAAATTGACTTCAACGATACAAATAATTTTAAATGTGTTGTTGATAGTACACATTATGGCAATTTCACAAGATTCATTAATCATTCATGTGAGGCAAACTTGAGTATGCACACTGTGTGGATTGATTGCTTGGGTTCATATTTTCCACAATTGGCCTTATTTGCTAAAAGAAATATTTTTGCTGGGGAACAACTTACTATTGATTACTTTATCAGGAGAAGTAAAGATTCTTTGAAAGAGAGTGGTATTAAATGTCAATGTGAGATGAAAAACTGTAAAGGCTATTATTTTTAATGAATAATTTTAGTTTTAAGAATTAAATATACGTGTAGTTATGAATAATGATATTTTATTTTCATAGAAAACAGTGCCTTTTTTATACTAATTTATATTATTATTTCATTAATTGATCAGACTTAATAAATAAAATTTTTTTCTTATAAATTTAAATTTAAAAAAAAAGATTGATATTTTATTTTGTTAGAAAATGATTATACTAATATGTTATACTTGAACATTTTAATGTTTGAAAAAGTATTGTTAAAAGTAGTAATTAAATGTGAAACGAATATTTTTTTATCAATCTTATTAGTTTAAGAAGTAAGATTAAGTAACTATTTTTTTTTTGTACTTAAGTATAATAGATCGTGGTTTATAACTAAAATATTTTTTGATATTATACTAAACTTAAAAAGAAGTAGAATTGATATTGTATTTCGTTAGAATAGTGGTATACTCTTAATATGTAACCTTTTTTCTGATACAATATTGAAATATATTAGAATGTAAATTGAAATTAAAATTAAACAATTGATATTTTATTTTATTTTATCATTCTTAATTTATAAACAGTTGAGTAGAAACATAAAAAAAGTATTTTTGAATGAAATATTATAAAATTAATTATTTAGACATAATATTGTGGTATTGCCTGTTCAAGAGTGACACATAATAAAGGCTACCTCTGTGCCTTACCTCCAAATTAGAATGACTACTAGGGCCTCAGATACCGCAGCGCTATTCGATTTAAGTAAATCACCTTTGGTATTTTATATATTAACAATCATTATCATATCTCACCCCGTGTTTTGTAATATTATATTACAATTATAAAGGACGTGTAATTCCGCCCGCAGGTTATGTGCTATTACTATATTCCATTTTTGAATCTCGGAAAATCTCATTCATGTTACACATGTATACACTTGATTAAGTTTTGTTTTAAGTATGTAGTATTATTGTTATGCTTACAAAAATTAATGAGCTAATACATATCAGCTATATACATACGACGCAGTCCATCCTGCTTGATGCCCTCAAAAGTATGTAGGATGAACGCAACATTATATTAATGAATAATACATAAATTAAATACTAAGTATAATACAGTTAATAGGTAGGTATTAAAATTTGTTTTATTTTCAGATAATGAATCTAAATTATAAAATAATGAATCTTATGTTTTGTAACAAAAGGCAGTTTTTAATACAGTTCATAAATATAAATTTATTTATACATTAGTTTTAATTATTTGTAATAAACTTCTTACATTCAATTAAGCTCTTAAAGAATTATTATGAATATTAATAATAAATGTGATGCTATGATAAAAATGGTATAAAATAAATTTAATAGAACTATAATTAGAATGATATTGTATAATATGATGTTACTTATTATATTACTTTGAAGATACAAAGATAAACAATTTTAATGGTTTATGGAAAATACAAATTACAACATAATATTTGGTTAATACTATTAAAGCAAATTAAATTCTTCATTAACACAATACCAGATGTCATAGTATAGATTTAAAACAATTATCATAAAGCAACCTTTAATATTGTAATAACAATTAAATCAATCATTATCTAAAATTAAAGTTTAAATAGTTAAAAGAAATTTCTCTAGAAAATTGTAGTTATTACTTAATTAGTATTAGCTCAATTATGAGCTGTTATATTGCTTGAAAATAGCTGTATTATTCAAAATAAGCACTCTTAAAAAAACAAATATACAAATTTAGCGTTTTAGAAAATTAAAACTATTTCATTATTTCTGATAAGCAATGATGTTAAAAGAACCCTTAATTTAGAATCAATGAGCAGTAATTTGGTATTAAATGACATTTTTTAAATATTTTTAATTGTTCAGGAGCAAAAAATGAAATCATTAAAAATTTGGTAGCTTAGTTTATATGCATACAAATTAACTATTACAAATTATTAATGTCGCTTATGACAAACAGCTGTTAAAATTTGGAGAAACATCAGTGTTAGTTGAACAGATACAGAATGCTGGTCTATATTACAAAGAATAACAAAATATGTCATTTATGACCTTTTGCCTATCCACCATCGAAAAGTCAATGTATCTAGTTTCTACGATAAATTAAAATAAACTATAAAAATATCAACCAAATATAAATCTTAAATAATTAGATACAAGATGAATAAAAGAATGGTGTTCATCTCTTACAGCGATAAATCTTATAACTGTAGCACAGGGTGTCATTAAAACTACATATTTTAACAATGCAAGAATAAAGTTACATTAAATTAAGGCTTGCTTAAAAGTAAAAATTAAATGTATACAAAATAATATCTTAAAATGATAATACTTTTTTATTTTTCAGTTACTTAATACAGATGTGAATCATTCAAATATTAAAACTAAATAAAGTGTAAATTCTTCAAAATGATTATTATTTCAATAATACTAGTTTTAAATGGACGGAGTCAGTTACTTAATACAGTCAAAATTGTATTTACTCACATTTTACCATACTAAGATTTAAATGATTTAAAATAGATAAAAGAGTTCATTAAAACAAAATGAGATTATTAGTTTCATAAAAAATAACTGCTGCTAGGTACTAGATTTTGGAAATGGTAGAATTTAATATTTGTCTGACTGAAAGTTACAATCAACAACATATCCTAATGGTCAAAATTGAAAATATTTTTTATTAAAAATGAAAAATAAATTTTAGGTTATCCTTTGAACTCTATATCAAATTTAGTTTGTGATTCTTTCAAATATTTTCTTTTTTTCACTTGTATGTTTGTTTCTACCAAATAAAATGCTCCAGCTCCAAGTAAAGTAAAAAAACTTGCAATAGCCACACCAAATGCCCAACCAAAGAAGTTGTTGTCGTGGCCAGGCATCCAACCTGGACGGTTGGCAAACAAAGCAAATATTAACACTGATATTGCGGCACATACACCTAAAATAAAATAAAATATGTATATAGAGTAACAAATTATGAATATTTATAACAATATATAATAAACATTGAATTTACCAGATATAATCAATGTTACTCCCAATGCAAAAGTTATTTGTACAAAATGTTTTTCTTCGGGTGTACAACATAAAAGAAACATTGATGAACCAACAGCTGATACTAATGTTCCTAGGAATGTAATTGTGTAAAAGAACTGAGTTGCCACAATGTAAACTACAAAAACAAATTAAAGAATTTAAAATGTTGAGAAACTGAACAATATTAATTTACTTACATGGCAACAAAAATCCTTTGATTTCATCATATCCTTTGGTGAAAGGGTCAAATATCCAGTGGCATCCAACAAAATATCTTCGCTCTGCTGGGTCATTAGGATCAGCTAATGAGCGAAAACAATGAGTCCACAAACCAAATCTTTCTAATTTTGCACCTAAAAAAAGTTAAAAAAATATGACAAAATTAAAAATTAAAAAAATAGGTTGAAAAAAAATATATTTACCTGTGATTCTCTCATCGCTGACTAACCAACTGGCCGAAAAAAATGAAACGAGCACAAACACTAAAGCCAAAACGTATAAGCCAAGTGCTATGTTACCAGCCATGCTACGCTTTTTCATTCTATAAAAACAAATATATATTTTTCTAAGTCAAGACAGTATAAAAAAAAATTAACAATTTCCTAAAGGTATTTTATGACAATATTATGAATTAAAACATATTGAATTAGGTACAACATTTATGCTTATGTTTATAATTATAAAGGTAAGTAATAATATTATTATTATCAAACATATATTTATAATAGCCACATATTTAAAAAGCTATGTTGATTAGATTAAAAATTCTATTCAACATTTAAATTTGTTTTTAATTCTATATTTCATTTGAAGTTTTATCGGTATTAATAAAAACATCATGCTAAATTAAATTAATCATTTTAATTTTTAAGTAACCTATAATTCATTTTTAAGTTATTAGTTATTGGTTATTGCTAAGGAACAGATCTTATTGTAAATACGTATTTTTATTGGAATGAGATATTTTTAATCTGATAACAAATGTATACCATTTAGATTAGAATAATTGAAATAAATGCAATTTTTTTACATATTTGGTAAAGATTTTAGTAATTTTTGATTTCTTCGTGGATTTTTAATAACAACAAACATTATCTGCTTTATTTGATTGGCATCCGTGTATTGATATGCTGCTATTAAATACAACATCAATCAGTTAAATAGGAAAGAAAGCTTAACATTTCTTAAAATTACAAGATGAGTAATTTTTAATGATAATTTCAAAACTAATAACTACCACCGCTATCAATAAAGTAAACAATTTGATGAAAAATGTTATTTAAAAATAATTTAACATATATTGCAGCCAATTTTGGTTTTTTGATATGTACATTAAAACAGGAAACCCAGACTATGCTTTTGTGAAAGTTTACACATTGTCGAAGAGGTGCAAAATAAATTAGAAAGAGCATAAGGACATAGGAAATTTAGTTACAGAAACTTTGCATATGTATCCAGGATAATTAGACATACATACAGGACCAAACCATACAGAATCATAAAACGTTTAATTCACATCATTTTATGTAGCTAATATGAAGTCTGTTCTCATTACACCAGTCGATATTAAATATTTGTTCAGAGAGTATGAAATAGTCTCCAAATTTTGTAACATATTTAACATTTCTTTTTTCATATTTTGATAAAAATAAGCATATATTTAGGTATGTACATAATTTGATTTTTTTTTTAATAAAGTCAGTTCTCTGGTTATGAATCATTAAAACTGCCTATATTTTACCTGTATTTTTATTGTTAGAAATTATTTTTATATGGTATTGTATTATTGTACACAATTACAATGTTATGTTTTTTTTTAACAAATACATGCAATAAGCTATTACTATAAGTGACTGTTCGCTTTTCATGTTTGAAAAAACCAAGTTCTTTCTATAGACAGCAAGATTTGGCAAGTTTCTTATAAAAAGAATTTGTTCCATTCCTTGTCCCTTAAAAAAATTTTTTTCCTTTGTCGTTCTTTGGAAAATGAACGAGCTCTTTTTTTTAGTTCCAAATAAAATAAAAATTCTTATTTAATCATAAATGTTATTTTTTCATATCTTTTATTTATATTTATTATTTTTTAAACAGTAAAAATTAATATTATATTATACTATATTAACTTTGATACTCAATAACGATCACTAATTAGCAATATACACACTAAGAAAAATAAAATTTAAATTTAAATTATTTACATATCTGTGTAAATTGGAACTCGAAAGGAACAAAAATATTTGTTATTTTTCCTTGAAAAAAAATAACTTTAATTTTCTCATTCTTTTTTATAAAAAAGAATTTGTTAGATGTGTCCTTTTTAAAAAAGGAATTTGTCCCAGAAGTCACTTCCTTTTAGAACTCGTTCCTTCCAAACACTGATAGACAGTATACATAGGTACCCAATAATACTATGGATTTTTGTTGAAAAATAATATAAATTAAAATTACATTTCAAGTAACCAAAAAAAGATATACTTATTACTTGCAAACAGCAGAGTTCTAGACTTCTAGTAAGTAATATTCCATGAAATAATATGTAGAGAATAACAAATTGATTTATACAACGATTTATTTATGTTTTACTAATGATTAAATTAACACTAAATCATAAGCTACATATGATACATCAGTGATAAGTTGCATAAGTGTGCATTGGCTACATAATAGCATTTGTTATTGGAGCAGTTGAAAACGTGATATTAATAATTTAACAATTATGTTATAAGTGTACCTCAGGTCATTGTTTTTTGTTGATCCTGACATCGTGCTGGTAAGCCACGTATGATACAAATAAATCAAAAACAGTCAATGGCATGCCACACACAAAACACAAGACAAACCTAAATTAGTGCAAAAAGCAATGTTAACATTTTTTTCTATTTAGTACTTAGAGTCAACCTTAAGATACATAAATATTGAATACAGATTAAAGGTATCAATTATTACTGTGTTAGATTAAATAAAAACGAAGTTCTATGGTTACCTGCGTGAGCAATCGGGACAGCGTTTGCAGTAGGAACCAGAAATATCCGAATAAATTACTGATACGATAAAGAAAAACCTGCCTCGTCGTGAAGAAATATGAGTAGTTACTTTCTCACATCAATCGGATAGACAAACTAACGCGCTCGCAAACACGACTACCTACGTGATTGCAAAAACAGTTGACACAGATCGCGAGATGATCAGAAAGAAGAAAAAACGATAAGAACTGAGTAGTTAAAACAAAAAATGACCGGCGGACGGCAGTTGAACACTGACACTACAGCCCGTTGGTTGCTCGGAATTTGGAGTTCACGTTTACGGTGGTTTAAGGTCGTTTGTAATTGTCGTGTTATATTATCTAGAAAACGATCGACAGAGATCACCGGACCACGTCTGGAGAAAGGCTAAAACACAACGGCGCCAAAAGTTCTTATCAAGTAAATAATAATTATAAAGTACACACGTCGTACATGGCAATCGAAAACGACACGGAAAAAAGCGTCGGGTCACCGTAGTGGGGACTAACCGTCGAAAAGGAAAACTGGTCGCCGCCCGGTACTGATCTCGCTTTGAACAGAGTGTAGTTCACAGTGTACACATACGAAAATAGGTCGCGACATACCACAATCGATCTCTAGCCGGTTAGCAGTAGACAGTACTATAGTGGTTAGAGGAGAGCGTCGCTAGGACGCTACTTTTTGTCAGATTTGATAAGAACATTCGCTCAAAGCGCACTCTGATCCAACGTTCGTAAGCCGTCGTCACTGGTCATAAATATTACAGTCGTTGACAGATGCGGCTGCGCTTTTCAGTCGGTGTATACCAAACTAGTCTCGGCTTCGAGCCTCATCAAGTCGTTCGTAAATTATTGTATTAAATTAACGACCTCAGCTGACAATGACAATATTAATAGATTAATGTGATTTGGAAACTATGGAATATACTAATCCAGTTGGATATTTATTAATTTAAGCCACAATTCGTTGTCATGCGGTACATATATCAAATACTATATATATGCATAATATGTACGATATGCCGTATTATGATATAGTAATTCCTTGCGTCTAAATACGAAGAACCCCTGGTTTTTCGTTATTCCGCCGCCGCTGCCGTTGCCCGGCGCCGCTGACGTGTCATTCCGCCTGGCGAGAACCGTAAACATGTTATGGACTCGACATTGTCTATCTACACCGAGCGCAGAGCTTGAAACCAACATGGCGGACAGAGAAACGACGCTCCTCTCTCGAGCCTCTCTCGCACACGAATTTCACGATTTTGGATCGACGCGGCGTCCAACAGCTGTTTAACACCATTGGGCCTATGAACTCAAAATTCGTACTGGTTATCAGCTATAATTTCTTATCATGGATCCGGTGTACTGGAATTTGTTGTAAATAAAAGACGTAACATCAGCGTTCAGCGTTTTCCATACGACTGATGCGTTTAAAATTTAAATTATGTCTCATAAAATGTGGAATATCATTTCACAACTAGACGTGCGGACAGTGCGGTGTTTTATGTGTTACATGCGTGCACTCCATAGACTTTTTACTACACAGTATCATAGTGGTCTAGACAAGAACCGAATAAAGGCGAAACACATTTTGTCCACCCGATAATGGGCTACATGGGTAGCCTACTTAAAACATTTTACGGCGTTGAATATAATATTACGCCGAGTACCTATATTTTAGCTTCTGATCAAACATGTATACAAAATAGATTATCAACCAATACCGAAGTTCCGGAGGTTGTCAAATTGTCTAAACGTAATAGCAAAAACCTATAAATTGATGTCTGTATTTCTTGGTAGTTTAATATTATTAAATATTTTTGAACACTGGTTTGTTTAAATGCCAAATATGGGTATTATTATATGCTTATTATTCTGAACAGTTGTCAGTTACTGACTATTTGTGTAATTTATTTCTTGTGTTTCCTTACTTGTTATTTTTTATAATATGTATTTGATAATTACTAATTAGTATCGGAATGCATTCTTTATTATCAGTGTAGGTATAATAATATTACGAGAGGTTCCCTAAATGTACCTATTAGAACATGTTATTTTTAAAAATGTTTACTAGGTAGTTGTAAATGATAAATGAATTAATGTAAGAACCGAACAGTAATTAATGCTTTTCATGCATTTGGATTACAAAAAATTAGAAAAAATTTTAGAATTTACTCCAAACTTGCGGATTCAGGTCGTGTGGTAGGGACTGCCACCCCTTCATTGTTATTGTTTAAAATTTTGTTGTATATTAAATTTGCAATATTTTTTGTTATCCCATTTTAATCAATTATAATAACTTGTAATATTCAAAGTCATAAATCTTCGTATTACCTTCGACACTTGGAAGTCGACAACTGTGGGAACACACTATAATTAATTTAAAATATGAATTATAGGTAAGTTATGTTCTACTATAAAGTTTGTATTAAAATGGATATTAATAAAAAAAACAATCATCTATTTCTTGCATAATGTCCATACGCCGAAACGGCTATGGCGAATTGTCCTCTCGGCGAAATGGCCACGGCTACTGACCTATTTCGTCAGATTGTAACTCTTGCAGGGATCCGAGATTTCTTTTAAGGGGCCTCGTCACCACATATTTTTTTTTGTCAAAAACTACTGTTTCTAATTCCAACGATACGTGTCGACAATTATCACGATTTTTATTCTGTAAAAATTTTTAGATTCTCCACAATATGTACGAGGGAATGACCTAGCTATATTTTTAAGTTTTTTAATTTTAATTACAATAAATATTGTAAAAAATAAAATACTGCAAATCTTCAAGCTTAAATATTTAACTAACCAAGTCCAATTTTAAAAATGTGCCTCGGTGGATCCCTTGTACATGTTGTGAAAAAAAAGAATATTCTGTCAGAATGCAAATCAAGGTAACCATTGAGACGCATTGTTAGAATTAGAATCGTATGTTAGAGTGAAAAAAAAAACAATTTTTTGTGATGATAATATACGTATTGACATGTGAGTGCGAGTGCGTGCGTTGATGGTGCGGAAGGAAGCGGTACCCGCATTGAACCACACGCACACTAATATTCACTTACGACTAACACATAGATCCCGGGCGGCGACGAAAAGATTGGAAATTGCCTAAATGTTGCTCCTTAAATATATGGTATAGCGAGGCCCCTTAAATACGGAACATTTTACTTCAATCCTTTATGTACTTGCAATTTATATGCATTTTAGTATTGATGGACGGATGTGACGGATGTCATTCAAAAGTTTTAAGCCGACCATATAAAAGTTAATATTTAATTTTTAAATAGGTATTAAGTTTTTCGCACCTAAAAAAATATTAAAATATTAGATATTGAGACCTATGTTAATAATTATCATGCTACAAAACTAAATATTATGTGATTTTTCTTATATAAATTCTTAGTAAACAATTGGTAACTAAAATTACTACTAAAATTACATTTTACCTAGATGTAACATTTCTTTTTCATATCATTTTAAAATAAATAATAAGGATTTGTGATTTAGATCAGGGGTTCCCAACCTTTTTGTATCCGAGTACCTGCCACTTACACACTTTGAAAATTTTTCCACACAACCACTTTAAAACCTTTTTTTTTTTCTTATCATCCAATAGAATGACAGTTCTATATATACATATATATATATATATATATTACATTTATAAAGCCTTTTTTATAATTTATTTTATTTATTTAAGCTACAGAACTACATACCTAAGCATTCTAATGCACAACCAGTAACATAATGCTAAATATTATTATATATTATAGGAATATATAGACTATCATTATCTAAATTGCTCTGCGGTATTTTCGTTATGGCTCAGTCGATTTATAGACGGTAATGCAATGACGGTCCTTTGCAGGTCATATTATATTTAGCTACTATTTTTATTAAAATCTTGTTTTTTTAATCAAAAAATGCCTCTGTGTACCACCCACGAGTTGTCCGCGTACCACAGGTTGTGAACAGCAGATTTAGATATTATTATCATTTGTCAATTATCATACATTTTAAAAAACTAAATGATAAGAAAACATCACATTTTTTAATTAATTTTTTTTTTAAATAAGGTAGGTTCATACAGGATGGATTCAAAATACTGGACAAAGGTGTTACTTTGGACCTTTTGTCGGGACACCGAGACATTTCATACAAATACGGGACGATTATATCTTTTGAGTTTTTGAGTTCTCTCAAGAACTATCAACAACAGTTTTTTAAGTCAAAAACTTATAAATCAGACACTAGTGTGTTAGTGTGTTTCTAGCATTGTGTTTATAGACTTATAGTAATTATTGGCAAATACTATTTAATACTCTCCTCTCGAGTGGCTGCAAAGGGCAAAGTCTATGGCAATACGCTCAGCAGTGGGCTTAACTGCTCAAGTGATAAGAGAAGACAACGCGTTCTAGACCACAATCACAGATATATAAACATACTAGATAGCGGACGACCATATACTAGATGTTATTAAACGTGTGTCTGGAGCAGCCATTTGTGAAGACGGCTATGTTTACATTATGCAGAATTGATAACGAATGAGTAATCCAATAATCATAAATCGTAATGACTACAGACCACAACAATTATTAAACATACATAAAAACATACTTCATAGCTCATAGAAAAATATATTATATCAAATAGGACATAACTACATGAGAATTTAAATATTAGATTCTATATCTGTGGCCACAAGCGATCGATTCGGTCAAGCCCGGGAAAGCCACATAGTGGCGACAGGCCTGTTGTAGCGCTAGCTACAGAGTAGTTGATAACATTTTATTTAGCAATGATAGTCGATAACAGGCTCTTCCTCTCTTATCGATCTTGTGAAGTAGTGACGGAGTGACGGGCTAATTTTTCCTAACTCGGATAAATATACGTGTATTACGCTGTTGTTCTTGTTAAATAACCTTAGTATATTATAATGTATTGTGAAGGATCTCGACTTTGGTCATTATTATTATTGTTTGACTGACGATCTTAGATATTATGACGTTTTGGTGTTGATTCAATTACGCTGTATGAAAAGGAACACCAGTTGCGGTTGAGCAAACCAAATACATAACATTCTATTTCATCAATTTTATCATGGCTAATAGCTAGGGGTTTTAATACTTAAATTACCATTATGACATTTCTGTTCTATATTAATTCCTAAATTTTTGTTGATAAATCAATACAATAATTTATTATTAGTACTAAAACATAAAATTAATTAACTATTTTGGTATCGGAAATCGTCGTGAGATGGATAGAACTCTATATGAAGTATGTATATCCATATACATTGTTAAAATTACATCTTTATTGTATAAAATAAATGTTATCAATTTTCGTTTTTACATAGAAAAGACTTCTAAGGGAATTGAAATTATTCGTGAAAGAACCTCCTCAAGGAATGTTTGTAAATGCTGATCAAGCTGAAGAAAATCTCAAAATGTTAGTAAAAAAATAATCATTGCTTATGTGTTAAATCAATATTTATTTGGTAATGTATATTACATTTATGTAATCTGTGTTCTGCGAGAATATTAATAAAGTTACCAGTTTTCATAGATGCTTAGGTAGGTAATTATTTTATTTTTAAAATTAATTGATTCTAATTGTAATACTCTTTATCAAATTATAATTTACAATTTTGTGTAGATCATATGGCTATTATGCAGATTTAGATAATATGTAATATTAATATATTTATTACTTGTTCTGTAACAGAAATACTCTACAATTCTAAACATTTAAATTATCCAAATTATTTAGTAAAGTTCATAATATAATATTATAAGGGTTAATACCTTTATCTTATCAATATGCAGATTAGTGCCGGACATGATAAATATATTATATTCCAACAAATTAAAGTTATTTTACCAAATAAAAAGTTTTATAGAAGAAACTTTTAATTTTAATTATTTAAAAAATTAAAACTTGGATTTTCTTATTATGTTACTATCATTAATTGAGTATTGACATTTTCATAAGTAAAACAACTTAGTGCGAGTATGCTTTTTTCAAATTCAATTAGCTTGACAGTTTGACTGAAAAAAATATTCATGTACATTAATTTAATAATTTGTACATAGAATATCAAAAATATTGTATTGTTATCTCATATTTAATTTTACTTTTTAGTTGGATTGTAAACATGAAAGGTGTTGAAGGTACTTTGTATGACGGAGAACAGTTCCAGCTACAGTTCAAATTTGATACCAATTATCCTTTTGAATCGCCCGAAGTAATAGTATATAATTTACAATATATTATAATACTTAATACATTTACATATTTTTTTTTCAAGGTTACATTTATAGGCCAAAACATTCCAGTTCATCCACATGTGTACAGTAATGGGCATATATGTTTATCTATTCTTAATACTGATTGGTCACCAGCATTAACTGCTCAGTCTGTCTGTCTTTCAATTATGTCTATGTTAAGCAGCTGCAAAGAAAAGGTGATTTCACAAACATTTCATAAATATTAAGATATTCTGCAAAGTTTAACTAATTTTAAATAGTGACATAATATAGATAGTATTTTTATAAACTGTTACATTTATTTGTTTTTTTCAGAATTTATGTAATACATTTTTATGAAAAATCATATTTTTCCAAAAAAGAATATTTATGCATATAAAAGATTATTTTGATGAAATTATAAACTATTAAGCATGAAAACATTTTATTTTTAAAATGTTAAGCCCACACAAATCCAGTCTCTACTAATAACCATAGAAACTTTAAACTTTCATCTCATTTTTATATGACCTATTTATTTGGACTATTTTCTCATACGGTTCATACGGTAACCAAAAAATATGAAATATCCATAAATACGATTTCTCTCCGACATTTAAGTTCAAATTTTGACGTAGTCAGATATTTAATCAATTAATAACAATTTTAGATATTTTGTTGTAACATAAAAATATTATTCTCGGATGCTTGATACTTATAAATTATAATAACTTTAATTGAATTCGATTTTATGACATCTAGTACAGTCGTGCAGACGTACAGTGACCCACTATACAACTAAATGTATAGCAGAGCAGTACCCACTTGTTCACTTTATTTTTATAATATGTACTTGAAAAGTATCAGAATGTATTCTTTATTTATCAGTTTATGTATAATAATATTACTAGAGGTTACCTAAATGTATTTGAGCATGTTATTTTTAAAATGATGACTAGCTAGTTGTGAATTATGGATTAATTAAAGTGAGAACCAAACAGTAATTAATGGGTTTCATACATTTAGATCACACAAAATAAGAAAAATTTTTAGAATTTACTCCAAACTTGATGATCCTGGTCGAGTGGTAGGGACTACCCCGTCCTCCATTGTTATTGTTTAGTATTTTGTTATATATTAAATTGCAATATTTTGGGTTATCTTATGTTAATGAATTATTGCAACTTACAATATTCAAAGTCATAAATCTTTGTCTTTTATTTCATAACACTACGTGTTATTATTGTATTGATAACAACAATATTATTACCTATTGTGAGTATATTCTTTAGACATACTATTATGTTTATGATTGTGACTTGTGACTTTGTGAGCGGCGATGACTGCCGGAAGATTTCTCACAAGGTCTTGTCCTCAAAATTGTATCAGATTCTATTATAATTTTGTTTTCAAACATTTAAATCCTTCATTCTGGATATTATTTATATTTATTACATTGTTACCTCTATAATAGTAAAATATTGTTTTGTTGAGTGTAGTTAACTGTAGACAGTTTGACACTCGACAGACTATAATTGTGAGTATACACTACACATAGTGCAGTAACAACCAAATATTGGGGCCTGGCTAAACTTCAAAATGTGCCCTTACGTAAATTATTATAAAAATAAAACTTTGATTTATGACTAAATATCAAGTTCTTTCGTACCCTTGGAAAAAAATTGAGCTTAGAGAAAAATGACCTTTTTAAAGTACCAACTAGATGAAATATGTATTAATTGTAAAATTGTATTATGTTTAACAGAAAAAACCTGTAGCTGATCATTTATACGTACAACTTGGCAAAAGAAGTCCAAAAGAAACAATGTGGTTTTATCATGGTAAGCGAATAGAGTCCCATACTTAAATGAAGCATGACCATTAAAATTGTTTATGATGATTTTGTATTTGATTATAGTTTAATTTGTTTTTTCTTTTTAGATGATGGAGTGTGAAGTACTGAATATAATTATATATATTTTCACAGTATAGTCTCATTTAGTGAAAATTGGGACCATAATTTTATTGCAGTTACTCACTTTAACTTATTCTTTAAGAATTAAGTCACATAGAATTGTGCTCAGATCTTTTTAAGTGTAGATTTGTTAACCATAAATCCCTAAATATAATTATTACCTTTTGATTACTATGCATGCTAATTAATATAACATTATGTAAACAATTTTCAAGTTGACTAGGATACAACAGTGTTTCTCAACTGGGAAGGTCACCAACTAAACATAGGAATCCCTATACTAAATAAATTTATTATCATGTTATATTAAATTCAATAACTATGATAATTGATCTAACAAATTCTATTCACCCAATGTCCAAAGATAGACAGTATCATTTCAGATTATCTACTACAACAAAAGTTTACAAAACCATAACGAATTAGTTTAAGAATAATTATTAATATTTAAAGATTTTTTACATATATATTTATTGTAAAAGAAATAAACAGTTTTTACACTGGTGCAAAGTAATACTAGGTTATCTTAAAAAGTAACCTAAACCCATGCTGTTATTAAAATGTGCTAAAAAACAATAAATTATATCAAGTTTATTTTGAAAACCATTTATTGAAACTTACATTAAAATATTAAATTGTAGATCAAAGCTAAAATAAGTATACAATTGTCAACCAAATTCATTGAGCAGGCATTCATTAAACAAAATAAAACTTTTAAGTATTTAACTAACTTACTTGGGTTTTTTGATTTAATTTATTGTTAAAGATATTTTATTACATATCTGTTGAATGAAATACATAAATAAAAATTAAACATTCATACAAAATATTTATAGTATATTAACATAGGACACGTGGACACATGGACAGTACTTACAACTATACACCAACTACACAAATCTTTTGTTCTAAAAATAATACATTTACCAATTATTACTAAAGACTAAGACCGGACTGAAAAGAACCAGTTAATAAATCCAAAACCTTCTGTAAATTATTGAAAGTAAAATAAATGTAATCTGTATTTAACATTTACCCAAAGCCCATTTAGAAGGATAAAAAAATTTTCAAATTTGTGTCAAGTGTGGAAAAAATTGTAAAATATTATTTTGTTTGTAGGAACTAGAACTAGAATTATATTTTATATTTAGTATGTAATGTTAATTTTCTGTCGCTTTGCTGATAACTGTAATATGTTGATGTATTTAAAATTTATATGATTTTAGATTGCATTTTATATTCTAAATGGTACGATGTAGCATAGATTAAATATACATACTATTGTACATTCTTTATAGTTTATTTAATCTGTGGTTGTAAAGTATATTATGTAAACTTTAGTGAAGGTATATTATTTGGCTGCTGCTTGAGAGTTGAGATTTGACCTTGCATTTGTAATAAAATGTGTATCAATAATTCATACTCCAAATTAAAAATTCTATAAAAACTAGTCATTTAAATGCCAAAATAGTTGAGACTCAAGGAAATATAATAGCTCTACTGATACTCTTATAATACATATAATATGATATATAACATTCTAATAAAGTTGCCTTCTCTCATGAGATACTCTCTTTATCTCCCTGCGTATGAACAAGATATATTTAAGTGACACCTAGCTTTTTATTAAAAAATATTATTAATATAAAAATCAATTACTGTAGATTTTTAATTAATTTACATTAATTTTATAGATAGGCAATACATTTATACACACAAATAAGATATCTATCATTGTATGGACGTAATATACCTACTATGTAATTTTTACGTATTAAAAATAATAAAAATTTCTGTTTTTCTTAATTTTTTGATTGTTCTTCCCTGCGCTTTTAAAAATTTTTGGGAATTTTAAATGTAGACCTCTTGAATGTACCAACTAGAATCCCTTTCCCACCTTTAAAGATACTGAAGATGACAATCAATGCATTATTTTGACTACTTATCGTGTACACAGACACAAATAAAAAGAAAAACACTCATCATAAATTATCTGATTTATATGCATTTTAAATTTTAAAATATTCATGCAAACATGCACCAAAAAAAAAATCAAAATATGCAAGAAAAAGATGCAAAACATGAAAAATAAAATTTCATTTTTATTATATTTTATTTTAATTTTGCAGTGATAATTATTTATTAGTTTTATTAAAATTTTCATAAACAAAAAGTAAGATGTATAATATAACAAATATGTAATACAATAATGTAATTTGTTAAATTGTAACTTAATTTTTAATCATTGATACATTGTAAAAAATATTTTATTAAAATTAAAATATAGTAGATACATTGGTGATAAACTGATATAAATAGGAAAAAAGTGTGAACAATTTAATGTAGTATGTTAATTGGAGAAACAATAACCTTACCTATTTTTAGCGTCCGAATATTTTTTGAGATGTAAAACATTTGATATTAATATTATATAAACGTACCTATAATCTGTTTTTTTTTTTGCTCGACAACTTTTTAGATCGTTAGGTGTATATTTTTACATTTTTTTGATCGAGATATCGACGATCGACATAATGTCTTATACTTATTTAAGTATCCCAAAGGCTAGATGTTCTATTACTCTCAGATAGTGATTTTCAAAAAGAACAAATAGAAGGCCGGGGAACGGTTTGGCTCTGTTGCTACAATGCGTTTTAAGCGGTATTATTCCGCTAAAAATAAGAATATAGTAACAGGAACACATGCTGTGGTTGGTGGCTGATGGCCGACGGCTGTTGAATAAATACGGCTCGTCGACAGCGCCTGGAATAGCGTCGGCTTCGAAACAAAAACCTTGTTAGTTGTTAGTCATTAGATAAATGTTTATAACGTTTACATTTTTTAGTTCAATATTTGGGTATTATTTAATATTGTATTAGATTTATTTAATTGGATATTATTCATAAAATTATTTCTTTTTATAAGTAAGATTTGAAAATGTATAACGAGATTCTCCACAATTTTTTCTAAATCAAACAAAAATATCTGGTATGACTTTTTTCTATATTTAAAATTTTGTCATAATTCATAAAAATCATAAAAATGTGAAATTATTTTTTAGTTCAAAATTGCTTAGAATAGAAATATTACACTAAGGTTTCTCATAAGTATTTGTTTTTCAATAGATTTTAATAGTTTTTAAGTTCAAATTTGGAAAAATTTAGATATTTACGGAAAATAATGATTTCAGTTAATTTTTTATAATTTAAAAGTGGGCCTGTTATTCATAGCCTCGCATAACAATGAATATGGAATTTCGTGGGTTTCTTGTAATTAAAATTCGAAATTCAAATCTAAAATATGTAAAATGGATATTTTAAATAGAAAAAGAAGGTGCTAAAAAACAAATTTAAAAAAACAAAACAATTAAATAAATATTGTGAAAACAATATAAAAAACATAAAATCAATTCATTTTGATTTAAAACCCTATACTATGTTTCAATATCAATGTAGTTAACAGTGTAACATCAGAATTACGAATATTTCTAATTTTTATAGCTGAAATGCCTCACAGATCTATTATTATTATCAACTACTTAATATATAACACCCATGGTGTTAAATAATAAGAAAGTTGGTCTCAATAACTTTGATTTTACATAATATATTGTACATTTTAGAATTTTAGATAGCTTCTTTCTCGAGCTCTTTATTACTGTCATTTAACTCCAAACCACAATATTGAAAAAACAGAACAATTCTTTAAGACAATTTTTTTGAATTTGCTGAATATTGACTACACAATAATATTGCTTACAATATTTTACATGAAATATTATTTAGTGTCTTAAAAATCTAAGCTAAATCTAAAGTGAATAAGTAGGTAAGTAGGTATACATAGAAAAATATAGGGCACTAAAAATTTCAAATTTTGACATGTATTTTTGTTGACAGTTTAGAATAGGTAGATATAAATGTATAACAATATTGAAACTTAGGACTGAACCATTGAGGTTAAATATACATTTTTATAATCGGATTTTAGCCACAATGAACTGTGTATGAATAGTGACTGTAATTTTTATGACATTTCAAGAAAAGCGTTTAAAATATAAAACCTGAAAATGTAAAAATTAACCCAAAAATGATAAACGTTGACAAATGCAAATAAATTCAAAACAAAAACTTCACGGTTATGACAGCTTAAAGAAGACTTTATGGTAGAAAAATTATCGAACAAAAGATTAAAAAAAAACAAAAAATCAAATAAACGCCATACACACCCATGACTAATCCTCAGTGGTAACATATTATTATACATTACCTACGTGTACTTAGGTGCCTAAATATTAGCTAGAACCGAATCGAATAGAAGATTTTTCGACCATAGCTGTAGATTAGAGTGGGAAAATTAAAACATTTGTAAATTATTTCGCTTTATGATTCAGTTTAACGTAGACGCCTACCTTCAACAACAGGCATAATAGATACCTAACAATAATATAATATATTATACACTATACAAGTATCACTATGTACATTAAGTAGTCTAACTGAATGGAAATTCGGGGCAAGCCACGAATTTGTAAAATTGTATTATTTTTATCGTAGCGGAGTAACAGGCGAATCATACCCCTGGTAATCATACCCCCCGAAGGTATGATTTTCCTAGGATACCTATACCTCCTAAAATGTCTTACCGGGGTTAAGAATATCCAAGGAATTTTAGAGTGTACGTAAACTGAGCCCAAATGACCTTTTTTGTAAACTTCACCCCGTAATCTATGCTAAAAAGGCATAATATAAGCTGTGCCCGTTTGTAAGTTATAAAACACTTTTAACTTATTAAAGCAGAATCTTTATGATTGTATACTTTTTCAATAAAATTTTATTTTGTACAAAACCATAATGTTTATTAAATAACTAATACGTTAGTGAATAACTATTTCGGTATACGTCAACTGATGGCTATCATTACATCCGACAGAAAAAATGACACAGATATATTTTCCAATTATTTGGTAGATATGTATATTATATAAGCGAAGAAGCTAAGTGTCCACATGAAGTATGGGCTTACGCATGAGTAGAGCAAACTTTAACCATTAATGCCAAAAACAGCTTATAATGCACATTTCAACATTTGATTAAATGATGGAACTATTGAACCAATTTGTACAAATCACGAAAATTTGCAAATTATTTTGAGTTAAAAATTCATAAAAATATTTTTATATCTAAGATTGTGAAATGTAATACCAGATTCCTTATAAGATTGTCCACCTTCATCAATAAAAAATTGTACTGGAAAGTCAAATTAAATTTGTATGAACGTTTGAAGTTAAAATTCTTACAACATTAGATACCTATTCACTCCATTTCTCGTATAGCGATTTTCTTATTTTG